CTGGCTTAAGAATGCCTTCCAGGAATATTCCTGCTTCCCACTGAAGTGACACAACAAAGCATCATGAAGTTATGGTCTTATTAGGATAAGACTAAGTATCATGGTACCTAGCACTAGATTATACAAGCAGTGAAGGAGGAAAATGGTTAAACAAGGTTTGAGACACATAGAACCTCAAGCTCATCTCCAGAAAATTCCTCCAATTATGAGACCTGTAAAAACTTAACAATACGCCACTAATAAAGTTAATTCCTAGATCAGGAGCTACAACATGGAGGCTACCCCAGGGGCCTAGGCCACGTCATAAATCTCAACTTAAGTCGGTCTGCACTTAACACCCATCACAGTCCTCCAACTCGGCTGTAGCCAGCTTACCTTACCCTAGAAAACAGGCCAGGCTAGCCTTATAAGGAAATCACGGACCTCCTAGGCAATCATGCCATTTCCCTGCTGCCTCTTCTAATGCTCTGTAAAACTTGCTCTTGCCCAGAATCCCTCAGGAAGAGTGTTCCACTGCTTGTGAGGCACTGTGCTCCGCAATCTACGCATGCTTTTCCCTCGAGTGAAGGATAAACGCATCACTACGTGGTATTATATAGTCATCTGATACCACCACATGGAAGACATCAACCACAAACTACTAAATGAGGGCTGGCAATTACAACCTATAAGTATTTTAGGCCTATTCACTGCAGAAGAAAACCTAAAATGCCTTGAAATCTGACAGCCCCCATATTAAAGGAACTTGGAAGACATTTTCCTCCCATTTGACAGCCTTCCTAAATTTTACATGATGAGAACAAGGAATTGGTTTGTGGAAGGAGAGGCAGCGGAGTTTGGAAAGGGTCAGGTTTTGGCTGAAGGGAAATGCCACTTAATGGACATTAGCAATCCAGAGGACTCGGTGTCGCAGGCAGGAGGTCTTGTCTTGCCCCAGTGGAGTTTAAAACACAAAGGGGATGTCTAACTGAAACTCAGCAGAGAGGCTAGGGTGAGACACCAATCTGCAAGCTGCCATGGTAGGAACAGGAATTGGGAGCAGGTGAGAGACCTCGGGGAGTCAGAGAGCCGTGGTGGAGCGGACACGGGGGAATGGCAACAGTTAAAGGCTGGAGAAAAGAGACGGTCCTCTAAAAATTACAAGAGATGGTCAAAAAGGCAGGAAAGCCAAAGGAGTCTGATATCCTGAAACCATGGAAAAAGTGAGTCTTAAGGAAGTGGTCAGCAGTGCCATATACTTCAAGGAGGTGAAATGCTAAGGAGAACTGAAAAAGATCACGGGGTTGGCCACTTAGTCAGCTATGACCCAGGGGGACAGGGGCATAGCTCTGGCTTGCTGGGAAGGCTGGAGGTTAGGTTACAGTGCCCCAAAGAGCAGAAGGCTTCTGAGCTTCACAAGAGAGTACCCTAGTCACTCAGAAAGTTCATCTGTACACCACAAAGTTCCAGGAAAGAGGTTCCTATTAGTGCTTTAACTGAGCCCTCCTGGGGCCCCAGCAAAACAGGTCCAGAAGCAAGACACATTTGCATCACACTGGCCAGAGCCTCCACCCTCCCTCTCCTCTTCCTCCCAGCCAGGCGATTTTCTTCCTGCAAGTAAACTGCTGACGCTTCCGTCTCCTTCCCCCTACCTCTCTGACCATACCACCCACTCAAGTACAAATGAAATACCACAGTCCAAAGGGGCAGTGGGAGCACAGTGTGTGGAGAAACAGGTGGGTGGTGGGGCGCAGAACAGGCAGAAGGCAGCTAAAGGAAGGAAGCTGTATTATAATTATCACGGAAGCCCAGCGGTTGGGGGAGGGCGGTAAACCCAATGATTTCAAGCTGGAGCCTGTCCAATTCTGTAACAGAATTAATTAGACACCCAATTCACAATTACTTGACAAAATTTTACTGTCATAAAGACTAGTCTCAAATAAGAAACAGTGAAAAGCATTTCTAAATTCACTGTATTGAGTTTCAAGTATACACAATTTAAGAGTAAAATTTATATGGTACAAGAGGAATGGTTCCATTTCCAACACTTTCTAATACTTCTGTCAAACAGAGTGAAGTACAACTTTCCCAGTAAAAGATGAATTTCAGGTAGATCGTGAAATATTCAAGATGTACCACGACACTACCAATAAATATAACCATCACACTAAACTGCTTTCAGAAAGTATCTGGTGTAACCACGTTTTAAAACATTTCTATCATCTTGAGAGCCCTAGGTTATCTAGGTTTCCAACTTAATAAATCAAGAAGAAACTATGGATGGGCTGGTAAGAAAAAAAATCATTGCATCTGACATTTTCTAGTGATATCAAAGTGTGGGCAAAAATGATATATTATGTGACATCAGTATGAAACTATCACCTTGGTTAACGATGCTCAGTTATTGCAGAAATCCAATTATATAACAAAAAAGGAAAAAGTAAACATTACCTTAGAAAGTAAACCTTACCTTAGAAAGCTTTGTTTTAATTTGAAAAAGCTGTTTGTTACAAAGAAATCCTGTAAATTCCTCCAAGGTGCTGATGGGTGTTTCTTTTCTTTTCTTTTTTTTTTTTTAATTAACTAGTTAGAAAAACAGACTATTAGCCCTTGTTAACAAACACTGACCTGCTTTACTGCAGACTAAAACATGCCTTAATGTCAACAGCTAATAGAAAGAGAATAACTATGCCTTAGAGAAAGCAAAATATGTTCCACCATTCACCATGAATAGTCAAACTGAAAAAAGCCACTTTGGACACTGGAACTGCTTAGTTTATGTATAATAAAATCCCACTTTAGTCCTAATTTCCTCCTGTAAAATTTTTTTAATAGTATTTTAAGGTGCTCACACCTCTCATTTGATTCCCACAAATAAGGAATTGGGAGAGGTAGACTATTATTACCACCCAAAGGCAGTAACTTCAGGAAACAGATTTCCTAGAGCACCACAGGCCAAAGCTCTCACTGCCACTTGGAACAAAGGCATCCTACAGGTCCGGTGAGAATGCAGGAGATTCAGGATATGAGCCAGTGTAAATAGGAGCCATTTACAATGGATCTCGCTTCAGTTTGGTTAATACATGGCTAAAGAAATGAACACACCCAATTCAAAACACTATGGAACTGCCTTACCAAGGATGAAACTTTCCACGTCTCAAAGCTCCCCTAACAACCTACACTGTCCTCCGCTCAGTACCCTGGAGGAAACTGCACAGACCCCAGAAATGGCATAACCAGGGTCACCTTATGAGTAAGCAACAGAGAACAGGACCACATGTTCTAATTCCCTGGTTCCAAGCCATTACTGCTTAAACAGAAGATAACACAATACCAAAGACTGACCCACAAGGCCAACAACAAAGCGGGGATCTACGTGCCTAAGAAAAGACAACTAGAGCAGTTTCTAAATTGTTTTCTTCCAGGTACTAGAAATGAATAAGCCTGGAGAGCCCTGAACTGGCAAAAGGAATGAGAGCTGTCTAACCACAGCACACAGATGGTCGTGCAGGCATGGGAAGTCTAATGTTTTAAGGAAAAACAAAACAATAAAGCATCATGTCAATGCAGAGCCTACCATAATAAAGGTCTGAAAACCCTGAATTCTGCAAGGTTATTAATGAAGACAGACCATTAGAAAAAGCTATGTGCCCAGACTAATTTAATTTAAACAAAGTAGTTGACCTAAATGGTAACTTCAGAAGCTTAAAAAATAAACAGGGTTGACCTTTAGAATAAATATTTACCTTGAATTCTACAATAAAGGCTCGCAGCTCATTAAATGAATCATCTTCACACTGCTTTCAGAAATACAGTTATTAAGCTTTCATTAAATTGAAGCCTTTGTAGCCCAACACATTAAATGTGAAGTGTAAGGTTTCATAACAGTCTAATTATTTTACCTGCGCTAATTCGTAGTAACCAAAATACTCGTCTTATTAAAAATTGACCTATAGATTTCTCTCCTTTATCACAATCATTAAATGGTTCTTGGCACCTTGTTTTCTTGCCAAAAAAAAAAAATCAGTTTCCCCGATCACGCCAACTCTCTAAAATTCGAAGAACACAGGCTCACCTCTATTGAGTGCCTTCCACGGGCCACAACGTGTGCCACGCCACTAATTTTACTTGTGTTTTCGCATTTACCCCGTAAAACAAAACTCAGAAGAGAAGTGACAGAGTGGGCCCCTCAGCTAGAAAGCAGCAGAATCTGGATATGGACTCAAGTACACCTGACCCATTCCTACTCACTGTGTGTTGCTACTTGAACAGTAAAGACCTGGAAGCACAAAAACTGACCTAAAGGATGCCAAGCAGGAAGCCTAAGAGAACTCAAGAATATTCACCGGTGTTTTGCAGTCCCTTTATATCTGGTCTTCACAGAAATCTGAGAGTCAGAGAGCAAATCCTAGCAGAGGGGGAAAAGCACCTTACAAAACATATAAGGTGATGACGCTTTAACCTTTTTAAGAATCTAATCAAAGCTACGGATCTTCTTTACAGAAATTTACATACAAACGTTTGCATTATTTTACCAAGTTCCAACTCCTGGAGTTCCCCTACATGTTTCCATCTAAAAATTCCCATTTGCTTGGGCTAAAAGTCAACACAATGAGGTCGAGAGAGTACTAACTGGGGGCGCCTGGGTGGCTCAGTCGGTTAAGCATCTGACTCTTGGTTTCCGCTGAAGTCATAATGCCCGGGTTGTGAGATCAAGCCCCACGTCAGGCTCTGTGCTCAGTGTGGAGTCTGCTTGAAGATGCTTCTCTCTCTCTCTCTTCCCCTCTTCCTCTGCACCCCCACCCCTAATTCAGGCACTCTAAAATAAATAAATCTTTAAAAAGAAAAAAAAGTACAAATTGACACAAATAGGAGGTTTTTTTGGAGATTGTTTTAAATGTTACCACAGCTCTGCTCATGCAAGTGATCTGAATTTTAACACTCTTCTCACGAATCTACTGCAAAGAAAAACCTCAACAGAAGGAAAGAAGGGAGGTTTAGAGACCACAATTGATACTTACCATTTTCCTGTGCAATTCTTGTCATTCAGGCCGCCAACCTTGTTTATAGCAGACCAGGCTGTGAGAGCCACATACGGCAGAGAGGCAGCTTGAGTATGAGTGAGTGATTTGGGCTTGAGAGAGACCTGAATTTGGAGACAACAGTTAGAAATAAGCAATGATGAGCAAACCTATGAAGAAACAAAATTAAGTATATTTATCTGCATAGGAATCCAACTCCTTTCACTGATTTCATAGATATGCCTATAACATTCTGCCAGGTTCAGTATTTACTGCATACCCTACTCCAGGATTATCCCTAAGGAATATTCTCCTAATGACTCAACCTGCCTCACAGAGGTTCAGTAATATTTTATAGGCTACATTATCAGATAAAGCTGCTTAATTCTTCATAAAGAGACCACATTCAATAATCCCATTAGTCCTGACTATACCCAGAAATAAATCCAAATAAACCTTGAGCCCTCATAAACACATTCTAATTTGTTTTTGAGATCAGCTGCTTCCTTCACTCCCATTTAGTGGAAGATAATCTTTCCAGACTTTCTCTAATCTCAGTAATACCCCTTTTTCCCTTCCTGCCCTCCCTTCTGTAGCCAATTTCCTCACTGTTAACCCCTTTCTCTCTATTCAAATTGTCAGGCCACCTGACTATACTTGATGAGACTATTTTTAAAGTTATTTGAAAAAGCCTGCTACTCTCATGCTTCTGTTGATGATTAACCGGTATGCTCCATTTGGTATATTTGGTTTCAACTGCTTATTCTGGGTAAAACTGAGAAACACAGCAGGGTTTCTAGATCCCACTCCAAATCCTGCTCCGGGAGACAAAGAGCCGCTTTGGCAGGCAGTGTTACTAAAGGACATCAAATACTTTTTTTACTCTTTCAAAAATTCCTATTCTCTATCTTAGCTCTTTCAAAACTACCCATAAAACACAAACCCGATGTGAAAAGCAACCAGTTATTTCAGAGATATCTGTCGGTCTTTGTTTATACTTTCTAATGGCATTTCGGCACAGAGTCGGGGAGTTACCTCATTCCCACTGACTACAACAAACTCTGACAGGGTGCCTTGTTTCCAGGGAGGAACTGCAGCCCAGACCTGAAACACACAACTTCATTAGAAACATATTTTCTGACCGAAGCTCAGCATGAGGGCTTTCCCCGACACAGACCCCACCCTGCAAAAAAGCACAAGTCAGCAACAGACCAGGCCAAAGAGTTATTTTCACTTAATATAAATGTAGTACTTAGTAGGATTCTGAATTTGCCAACTCAAACCACATTGGAAGCAGATGCTAATAAATCCACCGTATTTACGGACAACTTAGAGTACTGGTAAGAGCCCAGTCTCTGGGGCTTGAATCCTGGCTCCAGCACTTTCTACGCAGGACTCTTTACAGCTTGGCTTCGTCATCTTGTAAACTGTGCCTAACTGTACTTACTTCATAAGCTTTAAATGTGTTCTTTTATGACAAGCAACTAGAACAGTGTTAGCTATCATTATGAGCTCAACTTTAATTTCTTGGTATAAAAGTTCAAAGTGACAAGTGACAGGTGATTAAACCAAACTTTAGCTATTTTAAAACCATCTAACCCATAAGGTAGAAATTGTCATTTAAAGACTTCAAGAAAAAAAAAAAAGTCCTAGTCCTACATATTTTAAAGTCTTGAAATTCTTAAACACTGGATTTTAAAAAGTTCAAGTATGGTCAAGCTCTTTCGGAATAGTTAGTGAAAAATGTAACAACAGAACAAAGAAAATGAAGGTTCTAGCCTTAAAAGGTCAAGGATACATTTACTTCCAAAAGCAACAAAATGAAATCTGCATATTTAGAAAAGGAGTTAACTCACCTCATCTCCTGGCTTGAAGTACCTCACATCAAGTCCACATTCCATCACCACACCTGAGACATCCCGACCCAGAGTCAGGGGAAATTCTTCTCCTTTGGTTTTAATATGTAAAGGATCACGTTTTATATTTAAAGCCGTAGCCCCATAACCACCTGTGAAATACAATTTATCGGTTTTCTCCAAAACAATGAAATTATTTAAAAGCCACTAGAGAGTTACATGCCAGATTCTATCCTCAAGATGTAGATTATAAAATAATCAACGTCACAATTTTTTTTTTTTATCATCGCACTTGAACCCACAAAAACAAGGGATGTTGTTCTTTCCAAAGAAAATTACTTGGAAGGTTATAACCATTTTCAACTAAAGCTACCACTGCTCAAAATGTTTTTGAAATTCCAATTCTGAAGTTGCCTTCAGACTTTTTGGTATTTCCTTATATAATTTTAGTCTTTGAAAATGGTTTCTTTTATTCATTCATGAACTTTTTTTTTAAATCCATTATTTGAATAATTGATTTTTTTTTTTTTAAGATTTTATTTATTTATTTGACAGAGTTCACAAGTAGGCAGAGAAGCAGGCAGAGAGAGAGAGGACAGAAAGCAGGCTTCCTGCTGAGCAGAGAGCCCTATGTGGGGCTCTATCCCAGGACCCTAGGATCATGACCTGAGCTGAAGGCAGAGGCTTTAACCCACTGAGCCACCCAGGCGCCCCCATTCATGAACTTTTAAACAACAAAATTGTTTGGTGCCAAGTCTAGTGAAAAAGATAAATGATAAAGCTGTTTGAAGTCAAAAAATAGTATCAAATACTATACCCATGCCTAACATCGGTCTAAGAAAAATGTTCCCCATATCTCCCAAAATGCTTCTAGAACATCTCCGAAATAAGTGCATATATTAGTGAGTGGGGGAAAAAAAAAACAAACCATTTGCTACCTCTATTCTGTCAAGTTAACTGCTTTATTATACATATTTTTAAAAATATTTACATAAATATCAGTTAAGTAGACCTGAAGACATTCTAATTGTAACTTTTTTGTTTCAAATAAATTGGCCATTTACAATAACCCAAAGTAGTTTATTACAAAGCTTCAACATATAAAATGACTTTTCTAGGACACAAAATTATCTGCCATAGCCTCTTCCACTTGACATTTCTCAGAGACCATTTCTGCTAGGTGAGACACTCCAAGATAAGCACTCTTTCCACCTTTCTCATGTCATGTACCACAATTTATGTTCCAAAATCACTAAACCACTCCGTGAGTTTCCCCTTTCCCCCACAACCCACCCATAAAGGTGGCACTTCAGATCTTAAAGACGAAGAAAAACCAGCAAAGGAGATGGAGAAGGCCTGACCAGTGAAGAGCGGTCCCACAGGCCAAGGGAAGAGGGTCACTTCAAGAAGTCAAATGCTGGGGCATCTGCGTTGGTCTGTTAAGCCTCCAACTCTTGGTTTCTACTCCCATCCTATCTCAGGGCGGTGAGATGGAGCCCACCTTGGACTCTGCACTGAGCAGGGAGTCTATGTGAAATTCTCTCTCCCTCTCCCTCTGCCCCTACCCCCTACACCTGCTCATGGACTGTCTCTAAAAATAAATAGATCTTTAAAAAAAAAAAAGGTCAAATGCTGACAGGTAGAACAGTTTTTCTGACGAAGTCAAAAGCTGCCATATGTTTTTTAAAAAACCAAACCAAACATCTGATCCAATGACACAGAAGTCTTTGGTGACCTTGTGAGCAGTTGCTGTGGCCTGGGGCGCTAGAAAGAGAACAGGAAAGGGAGAACTGGAGACCTAAGACCATTCAACTCTGTCAAGCAGTTTTTGCTATGACGGGGAGCACAGAAATGGAAATAGTGACTGGAGGGGCACAGGTAAGATGGGGAAAGGATTTTTGAGTGTCTCCCCCCAACTCAAGAGGGGAGAAATAACAGCAAGTGTGTGTGCTAATGAGAATGATCCAGGAGAAAGGAAAGAATGATGATACAGCAAAGAACTTCTGAAACAGTGCTCCTGAGCTGATGAAAGGGGATGGAATCAGGAACCCACATGGAGGGTTGGCCTTAGGTCGGAACAAGGAAGTTAATCCATATAGCAGGAGGGAAGGGGAGAGGATACAGGGGGAGAGGACTGGTGGGTGGATTGTTAGAAGTTGTTTTTCTAATTTAAAAAAAAAATCAAGACACATGGTACAGAGTGTTTGAAAAGTTGGGATAGTCCCAGAAAATCTAAGCTGATGGCCATCATGCCAATATTACATATTTGCAATCTGGCTAGTTAGGTATGCACCCCCCCATTAGGGGGAAGAAAAACAACTTCACATGTAATACTCACGGAAGTCATGTTTCACTTTTCCTGTTTTATATTCCTTTTCCATAACTAAAACACAATTACATAATTACTTGCTGAAATTCCTACGTGGTGTGAGCAAAAAAGTGCGTATTTAGACATGGCAGAGTGGAGCTACAGAAAAGGTTTCAGTCCTTTCTGAGGCACAGAGTCTGCAGGACAAGTTTGCTCAAGTTTTCCCGGTTAATGGAGGAGCCCTGCCTTATTGGGACCAGCCAAACAAGCCCCAAATCCAGAAAGCAGCTGCTAGCGAGCAAGGACCTACTCGGGAACAAAAATAAATGGGGGCTCTTAGGAGCTTCATCCCATCGTTAGAGGTTGCCAGTTTTAACTGGCTCAGAGTTGGGATGATTTGGAAAATCCTAAGGTCCTCAATTTCGGAGACTTTAATCCCATCTAAAGAAATCCAACATTGTCGGTAGGATGCTGTTGGCTATGTATTTTTCCTCTTTTAAGATTATTCATTTATTTAGCCATTTATATGATTTATGATTTTACGCCCAATAATAGTGGCTATCTCCAGAAAAACAGCCTGGCTTCATAGGTCCTTACGTTCTTGTTAAGAGAAAGAACTTCCTACAGTTTATAATCTTTTTTTTTTCCAAATCTTTTTATTTATTTATTTATTTATTTATTTGACACAGAGAGAAAGAGAGAGAGAGAGATCACAAGTAGGCAGAGAGGCAGGCAGAGAGAGGAGGAAGCAGCTCCCCGATGAGCAGAGAGCCCGATGCGAGGCTCGATTCCAGGGCTCTGGGATCATGACCCGAGCCAAAGACAGAGACTTAACCCACTGAGCCACCGAGGTGCCCCAGTTTATAATCTTCTACTCAGTATTTTATCTCTGCAAGCTACCATTTCAGGTATCTTCTGCAACAACAATCACACATCCTCCAAAAAAAGGACCCATGAGCAGGAGATATGATAACTTACAAATAACAGTACTCAGTTAAGTTATAAAAAACTAAGATGTCTCAAGAATACCACATAAAAGTAAAACGTGTCACGATATTACATTGTTAAATAGCAGCCAAGAAAGTCAAGATCCAGGCATCCTACTGAAATTAAAATGTACGCCAAACAAATTGTGCCTGTGCATTCAAAGAAATTAAAAGTTAACAGATCTCAAAGAAGACAAAATGTACAAATTACTCAAGGTGAAAACGCCACTAATTTTAGTTTGCAATCTTAAGTTAGAACGAAAATTTTAAAAGGACGCAAAAATAAAAACTGAATGACAACTACATTGTGAAGCACTGAAACGGGTAGTGGTTGGTAGACCGTGGGATCCACCTCCGAAGGATTTACAGTCAAAGGAGATGAAAAAATATACTGATCATTGGGTATAAACCTACTGCTTAAAGACATAAGCTATAAAAACTAAATTATCTTCATACCTAATGTAAGTGAATAAAGTAAAACACTATACCCAACTAGTAGTAGCATGTCTTACTTCAGAGCAAAGAAAAAGAACATAAATGGGTTTCATGGGACAATCAGGGTAAAGTCATTTCAATTCATCCTTAATAGGGATGTCCTCTCTCTCTCTCAAATAATTAAATAAATCTTTTTTTAAAATGACATAAAAAGTCTACATTAATGGGGAGTTGTCTAGCTATAAGCCCTTTAAGAATCCAAGTCTTTCCTCAAACCCCTTCCCCAAAAAGCTGTGTGTAATAGGTATTCCTCACACTGTCTAGACTGGCACAGTCCAACAGAAATATAATGCAAGCCACATATGTCACTTTAACTTTCCTAGTAGCCATTAAAGAAGAGTAAAATTTATCTTAATATTTAATATATTCAAAATAGTATCAGGTCAATGTGCAATCAATATAAATTAATGAGATCTTTTACATTCTTTTTTTTTTAAACTAAGTGTTTGAAATCCAGTGTGTATTTTATACGAACATCTCAATTCAAACTAGCCACATTTCAGTTGCTTAACACTCACCTGGTACTAGTGGCTACCATATTGGACAGCCCAGGTCTAGTCACAGTCACTAAGCTAAAAAGAGCAACATTAACAATTGAAGTCAATGGGGCGCCTGGGTGGCTCAGTGGGTTAAAGCCTCTGCCTTCAGCTCGGGTCATGATCCCAGGGTCCTGGGATCGAGCCCCAGATCGGGCTCTCTGCTCTGCAGGAAGCCTGCTTCCTCCTCTCTCTCTCTCTCTGCCTGCCTCTCTGCCTACTTGTGATCTCTGTCTGTCAAATAAATAAAAAAAAAATCTTAAAAAAAAAAAAAAATTGAAGTCAAAAGATCTAAAGACCAAGGGGTGCCTGGCTGGCTCAGGTGGTAGAGCATGCAACCCTTGATCACCAGGGTCATGAGTTCAAGCCCTGTGTTGGGTGTAGAGATTACTTAAAAATAAAATCTTAAAAAACAAACAGAACAACCTAAAGACCGAGATACTGGACTTTATTTCCCTAAGCCAGCAGTTCTCCTAGTTTTTACATCCCCAATATCTTTCTGAGGAGCCTAAGAGGTTTTTTCTGTTTGTTTAAGATTTTATTTACCTGAGAGAGAGCAAGAGTCAGAGCCAGAGACCACAGAGGGAGGAAGAAGCAGACTCCCCACTGAGCACGGAGCCCGATGCGGGGGGCCAATCCCAGGACCCTGAGATCATGTCCTGAGCTGAAGGCAGTCGCTTAAACAACTGAGCCACCCGGGCGCCCTGAGGTCCTTTCTTTTCAACAATCTGTATGAGGCTGGATTTTCTTCACTAACTTCAGATAATATATTGCAATAGATTGAATACAAAAGTTCATGAAAATCCATCTGTCTTATAAACCAGAAAGCAAAGAGATAAGCAAAAGTATAAAACAATGATACTCTTCTCACTAAACTTTTTTGCTTATTTTGGAAAACAGCTATTTTTCATAGTTAAGCACTTTGAAGTAGATCCTATGCTTTACCAACTACTACCTATTTCAATGCTTCACCTATGTAGTTGTCTCTCATTTTTATGTCATTTTTTAAAAAGAGATTTATTTAATTATTTGAGAGAGAGAGAGGACATGCACACTCAGGGAAGAGGGAGAGGAAGAGAGAGAATCCTTAAGCAGACTAGCGGCTGAGCACAGAACTCCATGTGGGGCCCAGTCCCAGGACTCTAAGATCATGACCTGAGCCGAAATCAAGAGTTGGTTGCCTAACTGGCTGAGCCACCCAGGAGCCCCTTCATATCATTTTATAATTCTATCCTGATTTAGTTTTGTAATTTTAATACCAAAGGAGTTTACTGTATTTTTAAATGAGTAAAAATTTTAAATTTGCTCTTCTAATTTCTAATAAGGCAAATATTGATAGCTGTAACTCAGACAAACAAAAGCCCATTGTAATTATTAAGAGGTTGAAGAGATCTTATGATCAAAAAATGAGAATTGACATCCTAATCATCATATAGCTCCTGGAAAATAGGAGGAAAAATGAGAAAATGCCAGTCCCAACACTTCTCCATAAATTTCACAAAATGATTCATTCTATCATTAATTCTAATTTTATAATTGCTTTATATAAACCAAGAAATTTAATCATGCATAGTTCACATACAGTAACTGTTAAAGGCAATTGGATAAGAACTCTAAGTTACATGCAGGCCTTCAAAACACAGACCTATGGTTAAACTGCATATGGCAGCTTATTTTTTTTTATAACATGGAGTATAACGAATCACCCCAAGAGATTTTTTTAAATGTTTTCAGAAGATATGGGTGAGGAATACTTTTGTCATTATTTTCCCCAAAGTTAAATTCACAAATAGTAATCAATCTTTTCAGCACTATACTAATTACATGGTGTGTATATATTTTTAAGGAATATAGTGCTCTCCAAGCTTTGTCAATATTCCCCAGCAGAAATTAAGAGCCACCCAGGTGCCTCTTCATATCATTTTATAATTCTATCCTGATTTGGGGATGGTAACATTCCCATTTAAGATGAAGCATACAGAAAAGGGCATTTTAACTGCCTAGGGCAAAAATGCAACAGCAGGAATGAGGAAAGTACTATGCCCTATCATATCTGGCATCTGTCCTGCTTTGCCCACTGCAGCAATAAATAAAAATGTGAATAGTGGGAGAGCAATTATTATAAAAAATGCAAATCCTGAACTGATGTGAAAACATAATCGTTAACCTCCAAAACCCGCAATGGCCCTCAGAATACCACCAAGTTCCCAGGAGAACATAACAAAAAGTTAGCTGTGGAGCTCATATTAACTCAAATTCTGATTTATATTTTAAGGAAACATTTCAAAAGGTATATTTGCTTATATTTCGCAAAAGACTAAAGTATACCATGAACATTGCAATTTCAAAAACCTGAGGATTATCTGAGATACAAACACCTAAACTATTCCTTTGTGTTAACCAAAGAAGTGCAGTCAGGTAACAACTGATTTTTAAGAACTGATCCCTGATGAAACTCTGAATTAAAAAAGAAATGAAAGAAAGGTAAGGAGAAATGTCTTTCGAAAACTTACTTCTCATATTAACATCTATAGGATTCACACTTGCAGCGTGAACTTTGATAATAACTTCATTTGGATAGTGTATGACCGGTATCATCATGTTCTGAGTAAATCGAAGCACTTCATTCTTCCCGTATTTATCTATCACCCAGGCGGGCATGACAGTGCTCCTTGGAGAGGTAGTACTAATCTTTCTAACTGAAGGCTTTTGTACCGCGTGGCTTCTCCAGAAGCAAACCGCGTTACATGCATTTCTTCTAAGTACACAGGTTTTCAGAAATTCCATCGCAAACACCGGTTGAATTGCGTGCCCTAATTAAAATGCATTTAAACAGGATAGAACTCTAACCCCTGAATTAGGTCAAATTCTGCCAAACACACTGACCGATTTCAAGTTAAGAATTCAAAAATGAAGTCAGCCTAACTAATGGAGCAAATGAAGGAAGAAGAATATAGAATTATTCTGCTCTTCCCATCCGAAAAGCCCCAATTAACGTTCCGATCAATAGTCTGTCCATTCTCCTCTTTCCTTACACCCTCTCCCCTTTGAAAAGCAAAAACAAAACCCCTAGAATCCAGCCCTGTCCAGGAAGCCCCCGGCAGAATAAGCGAACTCCGATGCGAACCAGACGCCACAGAAAATCAGAACCTCCTCGACTCCCTCTGAGACCCTAACCGGAGTCTCCTTACGACCCGCTCTCCTTCGCTCCAAGAGTTGCTTTGCGGCGCCAACCAATCGTGAGCAAAGATCATTTCCCCGAGCAACAATTCGACCAATCTAAGTACTTGGTGTTGAAAGGTGCAGGGACGATTAAAGATGGCTGCGCCCATGTAATCCCCGGCGCGGGTGTTGACCTCTTGCTACAATTTGTCACCTGGGCCTTGTGGCGGCAGGCTAGGCACGAGGACCATGCTGGGCCGGACCCTCCGAGAAGTGAGTGGAACTGGCTGCTGAGAGCCCAGGGAGGTCAGAAAGATTCCCGGAGTCCGTGGACAAGGAGACCCGGGGTCTGACCCGCTTCTTGGTCAGCCTCGCCGTCTCCTTTCCTGGAACTGGGTGGGGGCTTCAGATCTTTGGGGCGTTCAGCTGTACTCCCTCTACCCATTCTGGAGTTAGGACCTCAGCAAGGGAGCCTTACGCAGAGCGGTGGAAGCATACACAGGCTTCTATCAATTAGACGTTTGCTAAGGCTGCGGTCAGACCCCTGATGGATGGCCCCTCAGACTGGGCTCCGCCAGTCCACTTCAGTCTCCTTCTGTCCCCTGCATTCATCTGATGCAGTTCTCGCTAAGAAACTCAGCAAATCTGTACTTTGCAAAATACAGACGAGTAATTATTAGTTTCTTCTGCCTTGATATATTCTCTAAACGTCAACTATACCAAAGATTCCCTCACCTGTGTCTTCATAGCCTAGGTAAAATTTTTAAACTCTAGGCTAATATTTGTAAATGCCCTCTGGACATCTCTTCTAAATGCCCCATAACCACCTCCACGGAATTTAACCAAAGTTGACTTCCGCATGGTAACAGAACCACTTTCTTATCTCTCAGTTTTCATCTTAACAAACAAAAACCTGATTTCTGAATTCTTAATATTCTCTATTTAGTAGCACAACCCTTATCCCAGTTGCCCTTACATTCTTTCTCATCTGTCATATCCAGTAAATCACCAAACCCTGTTAATTCTGTTTTGAATTTATGTCTGTAAATTTTAACTTACTCTGCTGTTAAGGCTTCAGTTCATGTCTCCTTGCTTTCTGGCCCATATCTCTCAATCTGGAGAACTGTCTGCAGGCCCTCTGTTATAAGAATCACGTCTGGCTCTTGTTAAAACCACAGCTGTGTCCCACTTTGGCAGCTCTGTGATTTGAGGACTGGAGTATATGGTTAACCAAAGTTCCCGGCAATTCTGCTAAGTAGTGGTTAAAGACCTACCCTGCCTTCCATCTTCCTATCTTATCTTCACCTGGGAAATCTTCAACACCCTAACCCCCTTTTGGTATCCTTTTAGAAAGCTATAAATTATCATAACTTAAAATTGACAGGCATTTAATAATAAGTAGTCCTTCCCCCAGTACATTAGTATTTTACCATCATAATATGGCTTCTGGCTCTGCTACATATTTATGTACAGTAAATTCCTCTACTAAAGAATCCAATTTGTTCTTTAAAAAAAATTGTTTTAAAATGAAATGCAACCTATAAAAATACAGTATGTCCTTTTTTTGCCCTTTCCCCCTTCAGCACTCCCTCTTTTGTGCCACCCCCTTTCTGATGTTGTTGAGTGAGCTCCTGTGAGAAACAACTTTTGCCTCCAGGGGGAAAAAAAGCAGGAGAGCTGATCTAAGGTACATAAGAGCTTGCATGAGCAGGATTACTTTCACTAAATAACTCCTTTAACAAATATATGTTGATGCCTACTGTGCACAAAACATTATTTGGTAGACATTTTCCCAGCCCAAAAAATATCTTCTCTCCTCTCTGTATTTTTTTCCCCCACATCATTGTACTGGGCAACAGTACAATGTCACTGTACTGTTGCCCATATTCTACCAATTAAGAGGTTAATTAATTTAGTACACGTTTTCTTTTAAATATATAAAGATGCCTTGGAGGGTCAGTTTATTCCCATTGTTGTGAATTACAGTAGTTTAATAAAAATTTATCTCCATCACACTCTAGTTGATATAATCAATTTGAAGAAAGGGAGAATTTGCTGGGGAGAAACTGTAGAGTTTTGAGGCAATGTTGGGGACCTACGTGAGGCCTAGAGTAGCAGAGGAGGCTGGGAAGGAAGCACTAAAAGGAGGTAACATGCCAAATAGGAGGTAAAAGTCCTATTTCTTGAGTTTTATGCAGGTACATTCAGGAAAGAGGAGTCGTCTCACTTTCACCTTCCTCTTTTATGGCACAATCCCAGTGTTTCCAGGAGCCAGACACCAGGCTAATATTAATCCTTAAGTTATTAATATATATTCAATAGGCTTGGTGGGGGTCTACCTAAGAACACTTAATTATTGTTCTATGGGAAAACAGATTCCAAATTTTAAACAACTCAGTTATTCATTTATTCAACTGACATTTAGTGAACACCTCTGTGTTCCAGACACAGAATGAACATGAAGACAAACAGAAGTTCCTGTCCTCATGAAGCCTGCATTTTTGTGGGGAAACAGGCATTAAAGAAGTTTGTTTGTTAGTTTGTTTTTAAGTAAATAATATAATCACAGGTAGTAAAAGTACTATGAAGATTGATTAAGCAGGCCACAGTGTGAGAACTAGAGGGGGGAGCCAGGTGTCTTGGAGTGGTCAGGAAAGGTTTTTCTGACAGTATGTTTAAGTGATCTAAAGGGTATGAAGGGGAAGGCCTGGGAGAATAGTATTCCAGGCAGAGGGAACAGTAAGTGCAAAGAGTCTGAAGCAAGAGCAAGCTTGACATACTCAGGAGTTGCAAGAAGGCCAGCATACCTGGAGAAAGGAGAATGAAAAGAATAGTGGGAGATGAGTTTAGAAAGATAAACCGGAGCCAGATCATGGAAAACTTTAGGCTGTGCTGAGGAGTGTGGATTTATTCTAAGTGTAATGGGAAGCCTCTGGAAAGTTCTGAGTATGTGGATATGATCTGATTTAAAATTTAAAAAGTTCCTCAGGTTATTCCTAAAGATGTGATCTATAGGAAAGCAAGTGAGGAAGCAGGAAGATCAGTTAGAAGGCAAGAGATGATGGCAGCAGAGATGGGGTGGCCCTAGCGGTGATGTGAAATGGGATTGTTTTTTAAGTTAGGGCTTGCTGATGAGGGAAAAAGAAGAATGAAGGAAGATGGTTAGATTTTTGGCCTGGGCAGTTGGAAAAATGGTAACATCAAGATGGGAAAGAGGTTTGTGTCCCCCCACTTTTTTCTTTTAATTAAGGTATAATTGACATAGAACATTATATTAGTTGCAGCTGTACAACATAATGATTTGGTATTTGTATACACTGCAAAATGATCACAATAAGTCTAGCTTTTCCCTGTCACCATATAAAGTTTACATAATGTACGAAACAGTGTTATTGACTCTGGTCACCATATTGTACATTATATCCCCATGACATTTCTCTTATGACTGGAAGTCTGTGCCTCTCGTACCTTCTCCCATTGTGTGCATCCATCAGTCTGTTCTCAGCATATGAGTTTTGTTTTGTTTTTTAGATTCCACATCTAAGTGAAATCATACGGTATTTGTCTTTTTCTGACTTGTTCCACTTAGCATTATACTGTCAAGATCCATCCATGTTGTCACAAATGGCAAGATTTCATTCTTTTTTATGGCTAATTTCCACTGTATATATACCACATCTCCCTTAGCCATTCCGTCCATCAGTGAACATAAGGGTACATGTATCTTTTCGAATTAGTGTTTGCATTTCGACTAAAAACACAGAATTGGAATTGCTGGATCGTGTGATAGTTCTATTTTTAGTTTTTTGAGGACCCCTGTACAGGAGAGGCTCTTAGAAGCATATTTGGAAAGAGAAGAGTTAATCAAGACTTCTGTTCTGGGCATGTTAATTTGGAGACGCCTACTAGCTATCCAAGTGAAGATGTCAGTTAAGCAGGTGCATATCTAGGAATTTGGAGATCAGAAAAGCAGTGAGATGTGAGGATATAAATTGGCCAGAGTATAGACTATAATAAAAGTATGTGGCCAGATAAGAACAGCCAGGGAGTTGAGTACAAAAACAGAAGAAGGCCTAAAACTTTCCAACATGTAGAGGTCAGCAAGAGGAAGCAGAGCCAGCAAAAGAGAGGTGAAGGAATGGTCAGTAAGGCAAGAGGGAAACCAGGTCTTGATGTCGTGAAACACAAGTGAAAAGCTTCCAGAGGAGAGTGCTCTCTTAGTTGAATGCTGCTGAGAAATACTTGTAAGACAGGACTGAGCAGTGACTGCTGGATTTAGGAATGTGAGGTTGCTAGTCATCCTGATGCAATTTCTTGAAACATTGGAGACAAAAGCATGAATGGAGTGTGTGCATGGGTACCTGTCAGCTGGATACTCAGGCCTCAAGGGCTCTCCTATACCTTCAGCATTTATCAAGACAATTCTTTTTAAAAGATGGTTCTTTAAAAAAAAGGGGGGGCACCTGGGTGGCTCAGTGGGTTAAAGCCTCTGCTTTCAGCTCAGGTCATGATCTTGGGATCCTGGGATCGAGCCCCGAATCGGGCTCTCTGCTCAGCAGGGGGCCTGCTTCCTCCTCTCTCTCTGCCTGCCTCTCTGCCTATCTCTGTCTGTGAAATAAATAAATAAAATCTTAAAAAAAAAAAAAAAAAAGGGTGAAGGAAAAGTTTGCCTGAAATGAGGTCAAGAACTGAGAGGCCAGGTGTCAGTGTACATTATGTGAAGTCTGAAACCAACCAGAATAACAACTTCTGATGCTCTCTGTAAAGTTAATAGTTTGGAAACAAGAACAGACCTTGGTTGAATCTTAGCAACTTGGCTACTTTCTACTTTGTGACCTCAAGCAGGAACTTTAGTTTTTTATCTATAAAAGGAAAATAATAATACCAACCCCTCATAGTGGATATAAAGATTAAATGAAATATAAAGCATTGGTGGGTGGGGGGATGGTTGAAATAGATGATGGGGATTAAGGAGGGCACTTGCTCTGATGAGCACCAGGTGTTGTATGGAATTGTTCAGTCACTATATTGTACACTTGAAACTAACAGAACACGATGCTAAATATACTGGAATTAAAATAAAATTTTAAAAATCTTTAAAAAAATATATATATATATGGGGCGCCTGGGTGGCTCAGTGGGTTAAAGCCTCTGCCTTCGGCTCATCAGGTCATGATCCCAGGGTCCTGGGATCGAGCCCCGCATAGAGTTCTTTGCTCAGCGGGGAGCGTGCTTCTCCGCCACCCCCCCACCCCGCCTGCCTCTCTGTCTACTTGTGATCTCTGTCAAATAAAATCTTAAAAAAAAAAAAAAAAGAAAGAAATATAAAGCACCTAGGATAATGTAGGATAATAACTAAGTGCCTTTATTGACATTAATTTTGTTATAGGGACAAATGGACTAAATTATATGTATTTACACTTATCTCTTCCCCTAGTTTCTAAGAAGAGTGAAGATTTCTTATTTTTTCTAAGAAGCTGTATTATTTTTCTCTTGGTGCCTAACAAATTAATATAAACTTTTTGGCTTAAGATAATCCTATTCTCATATTACAGTTTTGTGGGTCAGGCATCCAGAAATGGCATAACTGGGTTCTCTGCTCACAAGAGTCTCACAAGGCTGAAATCAAGGGGTCAGCCAAGGCTGTGGTTTCATCTGAAGCTCAGGGTCCCCTTTCAGCCTCATCTGTTGCTGGCAGTCTCTGTTTCTTTGCAGTTGTAGGACTGAGGTCCCCATTTTTTTCTTGACTATGTGGGTGGTGGAGCAAATGAGCTGAATGGACAGGAGGTGTGGGATAACTCAAATGGAGGTTTGGAGGTTATAGAGATTTATGACGCAGTCTGAGCTGAGCTGGTAACTGGGGCAAGGTGAAGGAAAAGTTTGCCCAAAATGACGTCAAGAACTGAGAGGCCAGGTGTCAGTGTACATTACCTGAAGTCTGAAATCAACCAGAATAACAGCAGGAGCCACTGTAAAGATCAAAGAGAGCTAAGTGGGAATCTTCAATGAATGAAAAGGAGTACTTGGGAGACGGTGGATTCACACCCCAGGGAGAGTGATCTAAGCTCCTCCAAGGCCTGTCCTTCAGCTGAGCTGGCGTTTCTGAATGAAGGGGGAAGAGGAAGGCATTGAAGAATGAGGAGGATGCACATGCTCCCTTCCCCCACTCGACTCTGCTCCTTGGTGCCTGGAAGCTAAAACAGTCATCGCTTGAGAAAGCTGCAGGAGAAGCAGGGCTCTCAAGGAAAAGCCTACTTTCCATTAGAGAAAAGAAGTCAGGGAGAGCGAGTCTGGTTTAACAAAAACTTTTAGAGTTGATTTCATCTTATATTCAGCTCTGCCACCTTCAGTTTTGCCCCAGGGAAGCTGCACTGTTCGATTTCACACTCCTTATGCTCAGGCCATTCTAGCTAGTTAGCGTCTTTGTTTTCATTTCTCTGCTCCAATTCTCTTACTGACTTTCTCAAATCTGAATTTCCTAAGAATGGTCCTAATGAAGATCAACACCATTTAAAATGAGTGCTCCCGGACAATCTCATTTCTTGCCCTTGTAACCACAACCATTAATGCCTTTCCCTTGTATTCTTATACCAGCTGGCAAGTCAGAAAGCAGCCTGAGGATAGTAGATATTAGGAAACTTCAGGAGAGGCAAAGAAAGAAAGAGAGGCATAATTTTCTTCATTACTGCAGTTTGGCTGTGGCATCCCCCAGCTGCCCCTCCCCTTCCTGGGTCCCTCCCCCAGCCGCCCCTCAGCCACGCTTTCCTTCTCTTGCGCATCAGCCTTGAGGGACCTCTCTGTTCCTGTTCCCGCTGATTTGCTCTTCTAAAACCCTCAGCCCTAAGAATGCGGCTGCGGGACGTCTGGGTGGCTCAGTTGGTTAAGCAGCTGCCTTCAGCTCGGGTCATGATCCCGGTATCCTGGGATCGAGTCCCACATCGGGCTCCTTGCTTGGCAGGGAGCCTGCTTCTCCCTCTGCCTCTGCCTGCCACTCTGTCTGTCTGTGCTCACTCTCGCTCCTCTCTCTCTCTGACAAATAAATAAAATCTTAAAAAAAAAAAAAAAAACTTAAAAAAAATACCGCTGCTTTGATGATTTATTCAACAGCGGAGAGCGGAGAGCAGATGATTGGCAGATTTTCCCCTCAAATGCAGACTGCTGTTGCTTGGTGGATGTAGGACACTTGGAGATGCGGTCAGCTCAGAGGAGGAAATGAGCTTGTTCTGGCACAGAGAGGTGGTGAAAGGGCAAGTGTTATAATGTTCCCTCTACCCTGCGCTACTGTGTGGCTTCGGACAGATCACTAACCTCTCTGAGCTCCAGTTTCTGCATCTGTAAAGTGAGGGTTAATAAGATGACAACTTACGTGGTTGTGTTAAGGTTAAGTGAGGTAGTAACGCATGTAAGTAAAGCAACGGTATCTGGCTCTTGGTAAATACTCAGTAAATTGTACTCTACCCATCCACCTTCTCCGTGAGCCCTCATCTCATCCAACTCTGTTTGGATAATCTGCAAAGCTTGGGTGTTGTCTTTGACTTATTATTCGTTGCTTTTATCTAATTAGTAAGCACTTACTATTACTTCCTCCAGGAAGTATTAAATAGTCATCACTTCAAGGTTCGCTTACTACAAACATATAGATTCTGGCCACTTGTGGTGCAGTTGATCCTAACACTTTCTTTACCAGCCTTTCTAACACATCCAATACAGGATGGCGGAGAAGTTTGGTTTTAGTGTGCTTTTGAACCCATATTTTATAAGCATTTTTCTCAATCTGTAGTGGCTGTTACTCGAATTCTGCAGTAACATATAAAGATCTCACTTGGAGCCATAAGGTCCTGCAGGGCCTTGTCCAGTCTGTTGCTCTTACTCTGTACTGCCTGTGTTCCGGCCAAGCCACCCTGTGCACAATCTACCCCCATTCGTGTCCCACCTGCGCCAAGCCTCTGCTCCTACTAGATGCAATGGCACCTGAACCCCTGCCCTTGGGGATGCAAACCTGACTTAAAAAAAGCACATTCCTAAAAAAAAAAACAAAAACAAAAACAAAAAAAAACACACACAGCACATTCCTGGGGTGCCTGGGTGGTTCAGTCGTCGTTAAGCATCTGCCTTCGGCTCAGGACATGATACCAGGTTCCTGGGATCGAGCCCCACCTTGGGCTCCTGCTCAGTGGGAAGTCTGCTTCTCTCTCCTGCTCCCCCTGCTTGTGTTCCCTCTCTCCCTGTGTCTCTCTCTGTCAAATAAATAAATAAATCTTTAAAAAAAAAAGCACATTCCTCCACTCGGGCGACGACTGCTGTGCCCCGCACCCTCACTCAAGCTGATGGGTGTGTTACACTCGCTCACCACGCTCCCAAGGTATAGGCTCTCTTGGTTTTGAATCCAAGCTTCACTTCAACATTTTACACTTCACCACTCTACCTGCCCACTCAGTATAATACTTGAAACTTCTGCAGCCTCAGTAAAAGGTTTTTGAATTGTATATATTACAGGTTTCTGCAGCACTGAAACAAGGCCAAATTACTCCAACAGAGCTCTGTCAAAAATGTCTCTCTCTTATCAAGAAGACCAAGTTTCTAAACGCTTACATTACTGTTTCAGAAGAGGTGGCCTTAAAGCAAGCTGAAGAATCAGAGAAAAGATATAAGAAAGGTAAATTACTGTGAGTTATACTTAATTAGAATATTCCTAGAGAAAGAATTTAATTGGATATAGCAGTCTCCATTTGCCAGTGAGGTTTTTTAACCTAAAACATAGCCTTATATCAAGAACTTGCCATGAGGTACAATAAAAATAAGGCTAATGGGTATATGATTTCTGATGTCCAAATGTAATAATTTCTAACATCAACTTGATTTATGAAGAAGTACCTTCGCCAAAAACTAATAGTTACTGCAATAACTAGTATTAGTGTGTCTTTATATTCTGGATATAACTCCTATTCTTTTGGTTTTTTAATGCAGGTCGCTCACTTGGGGATTTAGATGGAATTCCCATTGCAGTAAAAGACAACTTTAGCACGTCCGGCATTGAGACAACTTGTGCCTCAAACATGCTGAAAGGTAAAGTTTAATCGTCCAGAGCCTTAATAGTTTTATGAAAATATTTTTCCAGTTTAAATTAAAGATAAGATACTAAAGCACCAGGGTAGTTTCAGGCTAATTATATCTGCAAAAGAAGTACTTGGGCTGGAATATTTTCACTATCGTCTCTTTCGGACTGCAGAATTCCTCCTTAGAGGTAAGCCAGCTTAATGGATGTATCCTATTAGGATGTTTTAGAAATCCTACTTAGGAAGATTTACTAACTGACCACCACACACACACTCAGTGCCCTCTGACTCCCACTCATCGATACCACAGGACTAGGGAGGAAGTGGCTGTCATCGCCCCTCTCTTGAGGGTGGTGTGAGGGTTCGCTACTATTGTCTAGTTGTCTTTTGTTTCCCAACTCCTCCATTTCTTCTATCACTATATTTATCTGAGTATATAGTGATGCTTAGTTTTATTCTTTACAGTTTAGTGGGTCAGAAGGAAACCAGTTTCTCAAGATTCCTGGATCCTAGAAGGAAAAAGACATGGCAAAATCTTGCTCAGAGTGCTACACACTGAAAGGAAGTCTCTGAGGAGTATGTCCCAGGATAGGTGGATTGCTGTTAATTGTCTTGGAGTACACACTAGATGAAATTTCAGTTGAGAATAAAGATCTGTTTCTGACTGGAAATAGATAAAAATTTACTATGGGATATAGCATTTCAAGTACAATGAGCAAAATAATGATGTGTAATTAGTTTCAAATGAATTGGCTACATCTCTAGCATTCAGTATTGTGCAGTAGTAACTGTTAAAGTCAGTGTTTTTAGATGATAAAAAAAATGAATTTAGGGGCTTTGGGTGGCTCAGTGGGTTAAAGCCTCTGCCTTCGACTCAGGTCATGATCTCAGGGTCCTGGGATCGAGCCCCACATCGGGCTCTCTACTCAGTGGGGAGCCTGCTTCCCCCTCTCTCTCTGCCTGCCTGTCTCTCTGCCTACTTGTGATCTCTGTCAAATAAATAAATAAAATCTTTTTAAAAAAATAATGAATATAACCACTGCCTTTGGAAAACAGCAATTAGCAGTAGGAAAATTAAAATTAACTAGCTTTTGGAAGAAAGTCCTATCTACTACTCAAATTAGGAATAATGAATACATGTCATATGACCAGCTTAGTTATAGTTTAAAATCTTGTTTCTTGCATGTTCACTGTTTTCTCTCCTACAATAAAAATAACTGAATTTTTTTCAGGTTACGTACCACCTTTTAATGCTACAGTTGTTCAGAAGTTGTTGGATCAGGGAGCTGTCCTGATGGGGAAAACAAATTTAGATGAGTTCGCAATGGGGTAAATAAAATTGAAATTTTCTTCTCTTGTATTTCTTTCTTTCATCTCTGTCTTTAATTTCATTAAACATAGGTAACCCAAAAGCCCTGAGGTGATTTCTTGAGGACCCTAATGCCAGTTTCTCAGTCCCTCTATGAGATTATGTTTTATTGGTTAATAGGTATACAGTCAGACCTCATTTTGGTTTTAGTTTGCATTGTCCTGATGACTAATGGTGTTAAACATCATGTGTTTATTTTGCTACCCATATATCTTCTTTGGTGAAGTATTTATCCAAATCTTTTACCCTTTTTTTTTTTTAAATTGGGTTGTTTTTCTTACTGAGTTCTAAGAGTTCTTTTATATATTCTGGATCCAAGTCTATTGTCAGATAGGTAATTTGCAAATAATTTCTCCAAGTCTCTGGCTTGTCTTTTCGTTCTCTGAACATTCCTTTCAAAGAGTGAAAGTTCCTAATTTTAATGAAGTCCACTTCATCTTTTTTTTTTCTTTTAAAATCAATGCTTCTTGTATCTTTTTTTTTTTTTTTAAGATTTTATTTATTTATTTGACAGAGAGATATCACAAGCAGGCAGAGAGGCAGGCAGAGAGAGAGAGGAGGAAGCAGGCTCCCCACTGAGCAGAGAGCCCGATGCGGGCCTCGATCCCTGGACCCTGGGATCATGACCTGAGCTGAAGGCAGAGGCTTTAACCCACTGAGCCACCCAGGCGCCCCGATGCTTTTTGAATCTTAACTAAGAAATTTTTACTGACCCACAGTCACAAAAGATTTTTCTCCTATAAGTTGTATAGTTCTTACCTTTAGACTCATAATCCATTTGTATGTGGTGTGAATAAAGCCAAGGTTCATTTACTTGCGTGTGTCCAGTAGTTCTGGCACTATTTGTAAAAAAGAAAAAGAAAGAAAAGAAAAAAAAGATTATCATTTCCTCATTAAATTACCTTGGTTCCTTTATCAAAAAATTGGTTGGAATATATATATATACATCTATTTCTGGATTCTGTCCTGTTGATCTGTGTATCTCTGTTTACTTTAATAAGATGCTATCTTGATTCCCATAGCTTTATTTTTTTAAAAGATTTTGTTCATTCATTTGAGAGAACAAGAGAGAATAAGAGAGCATGAGTGGGCAGGGTGAGACGGGGAGGGAGGAGCAGAGGAAGAGTGAAAAGCAGGCTCCCCACTGAAGAGGGAGCCTGACATGCTTGGGATCGTGACCTGAGCCAAAGGCAGACACTTAACTGAGCTTTACAGGTGCCCCAGTTCCTACAGTTTTATAGCAATAAGCTTTGAAGTTAGGTAGTGAGAGTCATTAACTTTGTTTTTCTTTTTCAAAATTATTTTACATATGCTAGGTCCTTTGCAATTCCATAGAAGTTTTAGAATCAGCTTGCTGATTTCTACAAAGAAGCTTAATGAGATTTTGATTATGATTGTGTTGAATTTATAGATCGATCAAGTTGGGGAGATTCAACATCTTAATATATGTCTTCTGATCCATGAACACCTTGTATCTGTCCATTTATTTAGATTTTGTTCAATTTTTCTCAGCGGTATTTTTATGATTATCTGCATATAAATCTTCTATGTAATTTGATTTATTGCTAAGCATTTCAATATATTTTTTTAGAATTTATTTATTTATTTGAGAGTGAGAGCGTGTGCACAAGTAGGGGCCTTGCAAAGGGAGAGGGAGAAGCAGACTTCCTGCTGAGTGGGGAGCCCCACGATGCAGGGGTGTATGCCAGGACCCTGAGATCATGAGCTGAGCCCAAGGCAGATGCTTAACAGACCGAGCCACCCAGGCACAGGCCCCCTCGCAAGTATTTCAAATTTTTAATGCTGGGCGCCTGGGTGGCTCAGTGGGTTAAGCCTCTGCTTTCGGCTCAGGTCATGATCTCAGTGTCCTGGGATCAAGCCCCGCATCGGGCTCTCTGCTTGGCAGGTAGCTTGCTTCCCCCCACCTCTCTCCACCTGCCTCTCTGCCTACTTGTGACTTCTCTCTGTCAGATAAATAAATAAAATCTTTTAAAAAAGTTATTTTTAATGCTATATAACATGGTTATCTTTTCAATATCTAATCGTTTGTTAGTATATAGAAATATAATTGATTTTTTTATATTGACCTTGGATCCCATGCCCTTGCTAAGCTCTCTTACTGGTTCTAGTTGATCTTTGCAGATTCTTTGGTATATTGCATGTAGATGATCATGTAATCTACAAATAGAGACAATTTTATCTCTTCCATTTCTCTTTCTTATTGTGTTGGTTAGGACTTTAGTACAACATGGAGTAGAAGTAATAAGAGCAGATATCCTTGCCTTGTTCCTGATTTGGGGGAGAAAGCATTCACTGTGTCACCAAAAGCGCTTTCTATTCTCCCTTTTATAACTCTTGTCATATTTGTAATGTTTGCTTGGTGTATGCTCCCTGTTCCATAGAAGCAGAGTCTTTGACTCTCTGATTTGCAGTGGTATCTCTTGGCACTCAGTAATATATGTTGAATGAATTATCCATGGGAGTAAACTCGAACATAGATTATTAGGACATTGCCTTGAACAGCTGATCAAAATGAACATAATCGGTGAATGTAAGTGGACATTGTGTAACACTAGATGTGATTCTCTGAGGACACACCATAATCTATGCAGTATTCCAGCTGAGAATGTTAAAACTTAAACTAATAACCAGAAAACAAAAGGTAAGTCTGAAATGAGAAACATTCTATTGAAATATGAATATCTGGAATTTCTGGGTGTTTCAGTCAGTTAAGCGTCTGCCTTTGGCTCAGGTCATGATCCCAGGGTTCTGGGATCAAGCCCCACATCTCGCTCTCTGCTCAGTGGGAGCCTGCTTCCCTCGCCCTGCTTATACTCTGATCTCTGTCAAATAAATGAAATATTAAAAAAAAGAACTTTAGGGCACCTGGGTGGATCAGTGGGTTAAAGCCTCTGCCTTCGGCTCAGGTCATGATCCCAGGCCATGATCGGGGGTGGGGGGGGGTGTCCTCTGCTCAGCAGGGAACCTGCTTCCTCCTTTTTCTCTCTGTCTGCCTCTCTGCCTACTTGTGATCTCTGTCTGTCAAATAAAATATTTTAAAATCTTTTAAAAAAAAATCTTTTTTTAAAAAATCTTTTAAAAAAAATCTTTTAAAAAAATCTTAAAAAAAATCTTTAAAAAAATCTTTTAAATCTTTTAAAATCTTTAAAAAAATCTTTTAAAAAATCTTTAAAAAATCTTTTTAAAAAATCTTTTAAATCTTTTAAAAATCTTTTAAAAAATCTTTTTAAAGATTTTTAAAAATCTTTTAAAAAAATCTTTTAAAAGATTTTTAAAAATAAATTAAAAATAGAATATGAATATCATAAAAAATAAAGGAAGGCCACAAAAATATTCCCAGATTAAAAGCCCAAGGAAAGTAAAACCTAAAACTTACAGGAGAAAATCTTTGTGACATGGAGTTACGCAAAGATTTCTTAGATGAGATGCATGAAGTACAAGCTGTAAAATAAAAAACTGATAGATTGGACTTCACTAAAATTAAGAACTTCTCTACTTTGAAATACACTACTAAAAAATGAAAAAACAAGCCACAGCCTGAGAGAAAATCTTTACAAAACCTGTATCTGTGAAAAAACTGGCATCCAGTATACATAGAACCTTAACCAACTCAAAAATAACAGCCCAATTAAAAAAAAAAAAAAATGGGCAAAATATGTAAGCAGACATTTCATCAAAGAAGATACATAGTTAGCAATAAACACATGGAAAAAAGCTAACATGGTTAGTCATTGAGGAAATGCAAATTACAACCACAAGGAGATACGTACACCTGTTAGAATGGCTTAAAAATGACGCTATCAAGGGCTGGCCAGGATACAGAGCAGTTAGGTTTCTCACACAATGTCGGTAGGAAATGCAAAATGGTATAGCCATTTTGGAAAATCGTTTGTAAGTTTCTTATATAGGTAAACATCATATGACCCAACATTCTTAGTCCTACATACTTGCTCAAGAGAGGAAGACTTATATTTACATAAAAGCAATGGCTAGGGTCTTTCAGTACAGTATTATTGTGGCTTTATTCGTAATTGCCAAAAACTGGAAATAACTCAATGTCTGTTGGGTGGTGAATGATTTAAAAAGTACATAAAGAGGGCGCCTGGGTGGCTCAGTTGGTTGAGCAACCGCCTTCGGTTCAGGTCATGATCCCGGAGTCTCAGGATTGAGTCCCATTTCGGGCTCCCAGCTCCATGGGGAGTGTGCTTCTCCCTCTGACCTTCTCCTCTTTCATGCTCTCTCTCTCTCAAATAAATAAATAAAAATCTTAAAAAAAAAAAAAAAAAAAGGACAAAAAGAGGCTAAAGAGACGATAACCAAATGCAATACCAGACTCGAGACTCCGTCCTGTACTGGAAGGGGGGTAAAGTGCTGTAAAGGACATTACTGGATCGGCTGACCAAAACGGGGTACGTACCGTGGGTTAGATAAAAATATTGTATGGATTTTAATTCTACTGAGATTGATAACTGTACTGCAACTGCACAAGGGAAGACCTTAGTGTTAGGAAATGCACTTAAATACATACCAAAATATTTAAGGGTAAAGGGCCATGATATACCTAATTTACCCTTATGTGGTTCGGAAACAAAAAGGATTTGTATATGTTACAGACACACATAAAGCACACAGATGGCAAAGCAAATTGGGTGATTTGTTAATAATGGGTGAATCTGGGTAAAGGGTATAAAGTTCTTTTCATATTATTTTGATTTTTGCAATTTACCTGTAAGATGGAAATTATTTCAAAACTTTTAAAATAAGTTATTAGTCGACTTACGCTTGTCTTAAAACGTCTGGATAAAAGAGGGAATCCTTCAGAGGATTTCTTGTTAACCCTTTGAATGTCTACGACCCTGTACAACTGGAAAACCATGATTTACAAGGGAAATCATCGTAAGCTGAATTGGATGATCAACTGGGGTAAAAATCCTCTTTTCTTAACAGACTAGTTTACTCTGCTTTCTAGCGCATGCTCTTACTTCCCATCCTCTACCTCCTCAACCATCTAATTAATGAAGGCTGCATCTAAGCAGGATTGGATTATACAGTGTTAGGCACAGACAATGTAATCAGAAGGCGAAATTTTCATATAAAATGAAAGTTTCATGAAGATATCTTGCTTCACTTCATCTCAGGTCTGGAAGCACAGATGGTGCATTTGGACCAGTTAAAAACCCCTGGAGTTATTCAAAACAATACAGAGAAAAGAGGAAGCAGAAGCCCCACGGTGAGAACGAGGATTCAGATTGGCTTATAACTGGAGGAAGCTCAGGAGGGAGTGCGGCGGCCGTAGCAGCATTCACATGCTTTGCGTAAGATGTTTTTTTCTGTTTGTACCTTAAAGCCCAGCCAGATACAAATAGTCATAAACCAGCCTCAGAACCCAACAAGAGAGTAGTTCATACTGTGCTATTTTTATTTCTTATTAGTGAGTTATTGGTGCTCAATGGTATATCAGAATTATAGCTTATAAATACACTCAACTGTACAGTATGTGTACTGTGTATTTTATACATTTAACTTCAAGATAGTATTTTAACTCTTCCTCTATAATATCTGGTTTTCTTAAAAACATGATTTTGTTTATCTTGCAGAATAAACCAGTGAGCATAACTGAATTTCATTTAAAAAATAATTTATTTGGGTGTCTGCTCACTGATGTTATAAATATTTAGGGACTAAGATACCATGGCTTTAGTTGAGTGCTGCTCAACTGCTAACGATGGTTTATCCTTCACCTAAATGGGGCGCCTGGGTGGCTCAGTGCGTTGAGCCTCTGCCTTCAGCTCGGGTCATGATCTCAGAGTCCTGGGATCGAGCGCTGCATGGGGCTCTCTGCTCTGCAGGGATCCTGCTTCCCTCTCTCTCTCTGCCTGCCTCTCTCCCGACTTGTGATCTCTCTGTCAAATAAATAAATAAAATCTTTAAAAAAAGAGAGAGATAGAGAGGCAAGAAGTATTCCTGGTGTGTATCAACAGAATATTTAAAATAGTGTTTTCATAAATCTACAACTAAAAATGGGTGTCACTGAGTAAAGTTTTCTTCCCGTTTGTTAGGAGCTGAGTTGTTCAACTGTCCTATTTTGTATTTGGGGAGAATCCATCCATCATGCTTTATGTTTCAAGTTCCCATTTGTAAAGCATTTCTTAACCGCCTAAAGAAGAGTAAATAAATACCACTATTACTTACTTTTCTCGGTTTCAGTATAAAATTGAATGTGTTTCTTTAGCAGTACTGTGTGTATTTTATTTCTCCTTAATTATCCACTGAAACTAAGCTCTTTCACAGACATTGCAACCAATAAATTATTTATATTTTTTAGAGCTGTGGAGATTTAGATTCTTCAGGGGTTTTTTTGTTTTTTGTTGGTTTTTTTGGTTTTTTTTTTTTTTTTTTTTTTTTAGTTTCTCTGAAATCCTATTTACAAGTAAAACCATTTCATTTTATCTCTGTAGAATTTTATAGCATTGCATTAATATTAATGAGAGCTCTGACAAGTTAGGACTGCAAGATTAGGTGCTTTTTTTTTTTTTTTTTACCCTCATCACCCTACTTAATGTTCATCTTCCTGAATGTGCTTTGAGGAGATGGCATTTTGACACGTAATTCCTATGGAAATGCAGGTTTTACTTTTACACAGCCGTCAGTGACTCCTAATAAGAAAATGTGTCCTTTTAGAAATTGTGAAAGCAACAGCCTGATTTTGTAGCTTATGCGGACTTGCTAAGAAAGACAATCTCATTTGCATTTTCTATAGAGCTCAAGGGCCATGTGACTGGTAGGAGCGTTGTTCAGTCCAAAGATTTATTCTGGGTATAGTCAAGAGAAGCACAGACCCAAAGTAACTCCAGATTGCATGGGTCCCAAAGTATCGAGTGTTCTACTTTGTTTTTCCCCCCTTTGGATTTGCTGCTTTTATGATAGTTTTTTTTTTTTAAAGATTTTATTTATTCATTTGACAGACAGAGATCACAAGTAGGCAGAGAGGCAGGCAGAGAGAGAGGAAGGGAAGCAGGCTCCCCACTGAGCAGAGAGCCCGATGTGGGGCTCGATCCCAGGACCCTGAGATCATGACCTGAGCCGAAGGCAGAGGCTTTAACCTCCTAAGCCACCCAGGTGCCCCTTATGATAGTTTTAACAACAGGAAGGTTCTTGGAGTATTATGTACCCACCAAAAGGAAGCAGCTAGAAAGCTTTGTAGTGTCAGGGAAAGATATCAAAGGTACACTGTTAAGTGGAAAATAAGTTGCCGAATACTATGTACAAGATGACCTTCTTTCTGTTAAAATAATTATATACATATATATATTAGTTGCATGGAAGTATCTGAGTATATCAAAACATAACAGGATTATTAGGGAGGCAGTGATGATAAGAGAAATTTCACTTTATACTCCATATACGTATGTAACATTAAATTTTCTAGTTGGCACATACACTTTTCCTAATCAGAAAAACTTTTACTCTGAAATAAAGTTTAAAAAAAAATGTTTAATTATGGTAAAATGTATCTCACTTAAAATTTACCATATTAACCATTTTTAAGTGCATAGTTCAGTGTTAAATACATTCACATTGTTGTGCAACCAATTTCCAGCATTTGGTTCATTTGCAGAACTGAAACTCAGTACCCTTTAAAAAACAGCTTCCCATTTGCCTGTCCTCCTAGCCCCTGGCAATCACTCTTTAACCTTCTGTCTCTAGGAATTTAGACTCTAGGCACCTCGAATGAATATTATTCAGTATTTGTGCTTTTATAACTGACCTATTTCACTTAGCAAAATGTCCTCAAGATTAGTTTTTTGTTTTGTCTTTAATAAGAAAAACATACACTCTCTAGATAACTGAGCAGAGAAATGGGCACTTCATAGTTGGGTAATGCAAATACAAATAAATGTGAAAAATTATTCAAAAATGCACATTAACAAAGATTTTTCGTTATTCAGATTAACCAGCTTTTAGAACTGCTAGTACTCAGTGATGATAATGAAACATAAGCCCAAATCTGATTCACTGCAGTTGGAAATATAAATTGGCAGAGCCTCTCTGACAAGTCATTTGACAATACAGATTAAGAAATTAGAATAGCAGGCAGACCCTATGCCTCATTAACGCTACTTCTTGGAAGCCAGCCTAAAAAATAACCAGACATATGGGCAAAGATTTATGTTCAAAGGTGTTTATTACAAAGTAATTTATTACGCAGTCATTATCCTAGTTGGCAACAACATATATGTTTAAATAAATTAAAGTACATTTCTATCTGTGATTCTAAATGAGCGGAAGGTTCTGTGTATGACTTTCTGGGAGAGGTGTGTTGAGTTTGTAAAAGCATACTGTTAAACTGCCATCAAAGGAAGGTATAAGGTGTCTGTGTATATACTGATAGGCTTTAAAATCCTGGGAATCACCAATTGTTAAGATGGGATATTGTACATATTTTAAATTTTCAGTAATTTTAATGAGCTAGCAAAAGGCTCATGTTAAGAAAAAAACGAGATAGGAAGTTAAAATTACAGAATGACCTGAGCCACGAAAGAAAACTGCATTTTAAGAAAGTCTTGAAGTTAATATGTCAAAATGTCAACAGCATGTTTGCCTTAGGCAGTAGAATATTTTGTTACCTCTTTACACTTCTGTATTTTAGTTCTCTGAGACAAGCATGTCTGACTTTTGTATAACCAGGGGGAAATAAAGTTTAAAAGTATATACACTTAAAAATAGATTCCAGATATAATTGGAGATCTTCTAAAGAAAATTCCATTTAAATTCCAGGGCTTTAGGATCAGATACAGGAGGATCGACCAGAAATCCAGCTGCCCACTGCGGGGTTGTTGGTTTCAAACCAAGCTATGGCTTAGTTTCTCGTCATGGCCTCATTCCCCTGGTGAATTCAATGGATGTGCCAGGAATCTTAACCAGACGTGTGGATGACGCAGCAATTGTGTTGGGTATTTATATGATTCCATAGAGTTTCAAAACATTATAAATTTCCCTGTAAAACATTCTGTCATTCCTAAATATTTCTCCTTACAGGTATGCTGGCCGGGCATGACCCCAAAGATTCTACCACAATACAAGACCCTGTCAAACCATTTACACTTTCCACTCTGACAGATGTGAGCAAACTATGTATAGGAATTCCGAAGGTAACTCTTCCCTTTTATTACTTTACAGAAATGCTAGCAGGTCAAACACAGGGAACAGACCTGGGAAACAGATCGGTTGGCTTTGAATCCTGCTGTGCCACTTTAATTAGCTGTGCAGTCCGAGCACATGACTTGATCTAAGCTCAATTTCCCAATCTACAAAATGGGGATAATAACAGTGTTGATCTCAGAGAGCAGTAAGGCTTAAATTTGGTAATCATCATGGGGATGTAATATACAGCATGGTGACCATAGTTAATAATACCATATTGCATATTTGAAAGTTACTAAGAGAGTAGATCTTAAAGTTCTTTTTTCTTTTCTTTTTTAAAGATTTTATTTATTTGACAGAGCGAGTGTGAGCAAGGGAACATGAGCAGAGGGAGCGGGAGAGGGAGAAGCAGGCTTCCAGCCAAGCAGGGACCCCGGTATGAGACTCGATCCCAGGACCCTGGGATCATGATATGAGCCGAAGGCAGGCGCTCAATGACTGAGCCACCCAGGCACCTGATCTTAAAGTTCTTATCACAAGGGAATAGCAAACTCTTGTCATTGTGTATGGTAATGGATGTTAACTTAGACTTATTGTGGTGATCATTTTTTAATATATGCAAATATTGAATCATATATTGAAACTATCATAATGTTGTATGTCAGTTTTATCTCACTAAAAAAAATGAATCATGTTAAGCAGGGGTCTGTAAACATTTTCTGTAAAGGGTCAGTTGGTAAACATTTTACGCTTTGTGGGCCATACAGTGTTTAGTGTCACTATTTAACTCTGCCACCGTCGTGTGAAAGCAGCCACAGGCCATATGTAAATGAGAGCGTGGCTGTGCTCTAGTAAAACTTTATTTTCAAAAATAACTGGAAAGGGGCGTCTGGGTGGCTCAGTGGGTTAAGCCTCTGCCTTCGGCTCAGATCATGATCTCAGAGTCCTGGGATTGAGCCCCGCATCGGGCTCTCTGCTGAGTGGAGGGCCTGCTTCCCCCTCCCCCTCTGCCTGCTTCTCTGCCTACTTGTGACCTCTCTCTCTCTCTCTCTCTGTCAAATCAATAAATAAAATCTTTAAAAAAACAAACAAAAAAACTGGCAATAATCTGCTGGGAGGCTATAATCTGCTAATCTGGGGTGTAAACAACATAGCCCAGAGCCATACCTTGCATAGTAAAGGCTGAATACATATTACCTTCTTTACTACCGTCATTAGTATTGCTACTGCATTTATTACAGTAGCAACCGAGTAATTCATGGATGAAGACCAATATGTTAAATTACTGACCTTTAAACGACTTATTGAGTTTTAAGCTTAACAGTTGATTGTTTGGATAATTCTTTGTTGCAGGACACTGCGCTGTGCATCGTAAGATGCTTAGCAGTGTCACTGGCCTTTAGCCTTGGAAGCAGTGGTTCCCCACAAACAGCACAACCCCACAAACAAAAATGTATGCAGATATTACCAAACATCCCCTGATTGAGACAAAGGGGATAAAATTGCCCCCAGTTGAGACCACCGCTGTAGAGAAATACTTTCTTTAAAAATTTCTTTCTTTTTTTTTTTTTAAAGATTTTATTTACTTATTTGACAGAGAGATCACAAGCAGGCAGAGAGAGAGGAGGAAGCAGGCTCCCCTAGAGAGCAGAGAGCCCGATGCGGGGCTCAATCCCAGGACCCTGAGATCATGATAATAGCTGTGCCTTCCTTTAAGGATTTAGAGAGAGCATAGGTTGTAGAAAGAGACCTAGTTTAGAATCCTAGATCCTTGGGGCACCTGGACGGCTCAGTGGATTAAAGCCTCTGCCTTCGGCTCAGGTCATGATCTCAGGGTCCTGGGATCGAGTCCCGCATTGGGCTCTCTGCTCAGCAGGGAGCCTGCTTCCCCCACCCACCTGCCTGCCTCTCTGCCTACCTGTGATCTCTGTCTGTCAAATTAATAAATAAAATCTTTAAAAAAAAAAAAAAAAATCCTAGATCCTCTACTTACCTGCTTTGTAGCTTTAGGAAAGTTACTTAACTTGTCCAGTCTCAGTATTTTTCATTAATAAAATGAAGGATGATAATACTTAACATCATGGGATTGTTAAAAGCATTAAATGAAGGGCACCTGGGTGGCTCAGTGGGTTAAGCCTCTGCCTTCAGCTCAGGTCATGATCTCAGGGTCCTGGGATCAAGCCCCATATCAGGCTTCCTGCCCAGCGGGGAGCCTGCTTTCCCCCTCTCTCTGTCCGCCTCTCTTCCTAATTGTAATCCCTCCTGCTGTCAAATAAATAAATATATTTTTTAAAAAAAGCATTAAATGAAGGGGGCACCTGGTGGCTCAGTCAGGTAAACATCCAACTCTTGATCTCAGCCCAGGTCTTGATCTCAGGGTCGTGAATTCAAGCCCTCTGCTAGGCTCCACGGTGGAGCCTACTTAAAAAAAAAAAAATGTTCAACCTGAGACTCCTTATACAAAAGTTTCTGCAAAAGCATTAAGTGAGAGAACCTTTGAAAAGCATCTAGCAGAGTATCTGATACTGAACATTTGACACATACGGGATCTCCAGCCATTTCTCTCATCTTTAATATTGTTAGTATTTAATATTGTTAATATTGATATTATTGTTTAATATCTCATCTCTCATAAATAACTAGTATAGTGCTTGTCATGCTGTAAGCCCTCTTAAATTAATTTGGTCTCTCTAGCTACCTACTAGCAATTTAATCAGATTTTCTAATGTACTGCCAAAGGTCCTAAAGTACATATTTGTTTAAAACCATCTATACAGATGTTCTAATTTCCATATCTTGACTTTTTCCAATAAGGAATATCTTGCACCAGAATTATCAGGTGAAGTGCGATCTTTTTGGTCCAAGGCTGCTAACCTCTTTGAGTCTGAGGGGGCCAAAGTAATTGAAGTGTCCCTGCCTCACACCAGTTATTCAATTGTCTGCTACCATGTATTGTGTACATCGGAAGTGGCATCGAATATGGCAAGATTTGACGGGCTAGAATATGGTAAGATGGCTGTGTTTGGGATTTTTAAGGTAGTTGTGTCCAACATTTGGTAGTTTTACTTATTCGTGACCAAAAAAAATCCCCAGAGATAAGGTTAATGATTTAGATAAGTAAACCAGTGAATCGTCTTACCTTTGTCATTTAGTCTTCTGCTTACACTGTTCATTATAAATATCTCTGTATGTTTGGCTTCCCTCTCTGAAATGTGACTATTTTACAGGAATAGTGTCTTATCCTTATATTCTCAGTCTGTCAAATGTAGTTCCTGGCACATGGTAGGAGTTCGGTAGATATTTGGATGGAGGGAGGGAATGGGGGGGGGATGAGGAGGTGAACAAATGAAGTTTCCTTCTTAGTTATTTTCTCCTCTCTCCTTGATTCTTAGGAGATAAAGAAGAGGAGCCACTAAGGACAGTCTCCCAAAATTTTAATATTGGTCAGAAATGTGAATCTGCACTTGCTTTTCAGCCAAAACTTTACTTCCTTTTCAAATAATGTTTATCTCTTTTTTGTTTTTAGGTCATAGGTGCGACATCACTGTGTCTACTGAAGCCATGTATGCTGCAACCAGGCGAGAAGGGTTTAATGATGTGGTGAGAGGAAGAATTCTCGCAGGAAATTTTTTCTTATTAAAAGAGTAGGTAATGGGGCACCTGGGTGGCTCAGTCAGTTAAGCATCTGTCTTCGACTCAGATCATGATCCTGGTGCCCTGGGATCGAGTTCTGCATTGGGCTCCCTGCTCGGTTGGGAGTTTGCTTCTCCCTCAGCCTCTCCCACTGCTTGTGCTCTCTCTCAAATAAGTAAATAAAATCTTAAAAAATAAAGAGTAAGTAATCAGAAATTTTCTCCATTCTTGAACACTCAAGAGTACATTAGTTGCATATCTATCAGGTCTTATTAAGTTGAGATACTTGCTAAAGAAGCAAAATCCCTATTTGAATTAGAAATCATAACTAAAGACCTGTTTATAGTACTTTTAGTTTCTGGTTATTTGAATGCAAAAAAAAAAAAAATGGACACTCTAGCAAAATAATTAGTACAAAACTAAGTAGGAAGCCCTAAAGAATTTTAGCCTCTTTAAATGTCCCGACTATTATTGCCACATTGGCTTATTGTTGTTGGAGATTTAAACAGGAAGTTACATTGGTGTATCTTGAAAAATTTAGCAAATCAATTTAGTCTTCCCCTACATTAAATATCTGTTTGCTCCCAGAAAGAATTCTAAGTTACTAGGGCTCCTACTTAGATTAGATTGTCTTTAATATAAATATATTCATCATCTTGTGAATAGAATTCATCTTGCGTACCATCAGGTCTGTTTAAGAGGACATGAGAAGTGTGAAAAGGCAAGAATGATTGTTTTAATGAATAGCTTCCTGAGTTTTTCTATATTCCCTCAAGGACAGAAAGCATTTTGTTCATCTATGTATCCTTTCAGGGCTGATACTTAGAATTACTTTTTCCAAAAATACTATTTGAACAGCCGCGATGGAAAACAGCATGGCGGTTCCTCAAAAAATTAAAAATAGAACTACCATATATGATCCAGCAATCCTACTTCTGAGAATATAGCCAAAGGAAATGAAATCATTATCTCAGAGCATTTTCACAACAGCAAAGACAGGAAGATAACCTAATTGTCCAGTGGTGGTTGCCTGCGTCTGTGGGTTAGGGGAAACAGGAAGATGCTGTGGGCTAGGGGAAATAGGGAGATGTTGGTTGAAGGGTACAAACTTGTAGTGATAAAATGAATTAGCTCTGGGGGCATTTGGGTGGCTCAGTCAGTTAAGTGTCTGCCTTTGGCTCAGGTCATGATCCTGGGGTCCCAGGGTCAAGTCCCATATCAGGCTCCCTGCTCAGCAGGGAGTCTGGTTCTCCCTCTGCCCCTCACCTTGCTAATAATGTTCTCTCTCTTCCTCTCTCAAAAAAAAAAAAAAAAACAAAAAAAAAAAAAAAAAAAAGATGAATAAGTTCAGGGGATACAAAGCATAGTTACTATAATTAACAGTACTGTGTTATATACTTGAAAATGCTGAGAGTACATCTTAAATGTTCTCACCACTCACACTCAAAATTATAATTATATAAGGTGATAAATGTGTTATTAACCCTATTGTGGTAATCATTTCACAATATATACATATATCTAATTATCATATTGTACACCTTAAAATTACACAATTTTATATGTCAGTTATATTTTGGTAAAGCTTGAAAATAAAAACCTAAAAATATTTGATTATGTTCTACAGAACATAAAAGACTCTTTTCCTATAAATCAAAACTATAATGCGATATTACCTCAAACTTATTAGAATGGCTAAAATCAAAAACACAAGAAACAATAGGTGTTGGCGAAGATGTGGAGAAAAAGGAACCCTTCAGCACTGTTGGTGGGAACCCAGACTGGTGCAGCCACTCTGGAAAACAGTATGGAGGTTCCTCAAAAAGTTAAAAGTAGAACTATCCAGCAGTCACACTACTGGGTATTTACCCAAAGAATACACAAACACTAATTGAAAAGGATACATGCATCCCTGTGTAGCAGCGTTATTTACAGTAGCCAAGATATGGAAGCAGCCCAAGGGTCCATCAGTTGATGAATGGATGAGGAAGATGTGGTGTATATACACACAATGGACTATTACTCAGTGATAAAAAAGAATGAAATCTTACATTTGCAATGACCCTGATGGAGCTAGAGAGTACAATGCCATGCGAAAGAAGTAATCAGAGAAAGACAAATAAATACCTTATGATTGCACTCATGTGGAATTTAAGAAAAAAACAACAACAACAACAACAACAAATGAGCGAGGGGTGGGACAGAGGGGAGAGAGAGCCATACCAAGAAACAGGCTCTTAACTATAGAGAACAAACTGATAGTTACCAGAGGGGAGGAATGTGGAGGAAGATGATGGGGATTAAGGAGTGTACTTGTCATGAGGAACACCTGAGCACCAGGTGATGTATGGAACTGTTGAATCACTGTATTGTACACTGTGTGGTAATTAACTGGAATTCAAACAAAAATTTTTAAAAAACAATTTAAAAAAATAAGACTTCAATATTAACCAGATGACTAATGATTTTGGAGTAGGAAAAGAAAATGAAATGTTGCTGAGAGGTTTTCTAAGCAAAGACTTTCATTAAGTGGAAAATGTTACATTTGCCAAATATAACTGATTTGAGTCAAATTGTGTATCTCAGGGCACAATTTTTTTTTAAATTTTTTATAAACATATAATGTATTTTTAGCCCCAGGGGTACAGGTCTGTCAACTGCCAGGTTTACCCACTTCACAGCACTCACCATAGCACATACCCTCCCCAATGTCCATAACCCCACCACCCTCTCCCGACCCCCCCCCACAGCAACCCTCAGTTTGTTTTGTGAGATTGAGAGTCTCTTATGGTTTGTCTCCCTCCTGATCCCATCTTGTTTCATTTATTCTTTTCCTACCCCCCAAACTCCCCACGTTGCATCTCCACTTCCTCATATCAGGGAGATCATATGATAGTTGTCTTTCTCTGATTGACTTATTTCACTAAGCATAATACCCTCTAGTTTCATTCACATCATCACAAATGGCAAGATTTCATTTCTTTTGATGGCTGCATAGTATTCCATTGTGTATATATACCACATCTTCTTTATCCATTCATCTGTTGATGGACATCTAGGTTCTTTACATAGTTTGGCTATTGTGGACATTGCTGCTATAAACATTCAGGTGCACGTGCCCCTTCGGATCACTACATTTGTATCTTTAGGGTAAATACCCAGTAGTGCAATTGCTGGGTCATAGGGTAGCTCTATTTTCAACTTTTTGAGGAACCTCCATGCTGTTTTCCAAAGTGGTTGCACCAGCTTGCATTCCCACCAACAGTGTAGGAGGGTTCTCAGGGCACAATTTGATATAGAATATCTTGGTCCCTGTAACAGCATATAAAGAAACTGAAGGAGAGGAGTCTGAAACCTTCTCCATGGTCACCAGTTGAGGGAACTGACAAAAGGAAGTGAGAATTTCTGCTGGCATTCCTATCTCCTGAGTCAGAGAACTTAAGTCAGCTTTTTTGTTTTGAGGGATTTTGTTTGTTCACTCACTTGTTTTGTGAGGGGAGTATAGACATGAGTGATAGGAAAAATGGAATTTGGGTATACTTTTTTTTTTTTTTTTTAGTCTTAAAAAGTCAGTTTTTTTTCCCGGGAACTATAATAACTCATAACATTTTTTTTTTTTCTTCATGTGGTGCCTCAGTTTACAATTTTGTCATTCTTCTACTACCTTTTGTTCAAAAAACAAAACAAATTTATTGAGTTAGGAATCCACAGTTTATTTTTAAAGAACATGAGCCACATTTAAATCTGATTTTTACTGTTTGTCTTCAATTTGTCCTATCTGTTCTTTCTTTTAACGTTTTTTCCTGCCTTCTTTTGTTCTTAAATAATTTTTAAAGAGATTTAAAACAAGAAAAAAGTCATTTATATTTGCCTAAATATTTACTATTTCTGGCGCTTTTTTATTCCTTTGTGTAGATCCAAATATCCATCTGGTGTAATTTTTTTCTCCCTAAAGAACTTTAATATTTCTTGGAGTATAATCCTGCTGGCAATTAGTTCTTCCAGCTTTTGTTTATATGTAAAAGTGTTTATTTTAATTTTGACATTTTCTCTCAGTATCAAATTCTAGATTGATAGCTTTTCTTTCAGTACCTTAAAGATCTTGTGTTGCCTCCAGATTTGCATAGTTTCTGAGAATTGTTGTCATTCTTGTCTTTGTTCTTCTGTAACATGTCTTCCCCCACCACACACACACACACACACACACACGTGCTGATTTTAAGACTTTATCACTGGTTTTCAGGAATTTGTGATGTGTCTTGGTGTGGTTTTCCCCCTGGTTTCCTCATGTTTAGGGGTTTGTTGAGCTTCTTGGATCTGTGGGTGTATTATTTTAATCAAATTGGGAAAAGTTTTGGCCACTGTTTCTTAAAATATTTTTTCTGACCTTCCCCCCTTCTTCTGGGACTCCTTTCGTATGTATGTTAATCTGCTTGATGTTGTCCCACAGCACACTGATGGCTCCACCCTGGTTTTTGTTTGTTTGTTTTTATTGCTTTTTTTTTTTTTCTTTTGTAGTCTTTTTCTCTGCTTCCTTTTGGATAGTTCCTATTACTATCTTCAGAATCACCGATCTGCTGTGTCACCTGCTGTCAGCCACATCACGGGTCATTTTTCTTTTCTACTTCGCATTTTTCATTCCTAGAACTTCCAAGCAGGTCTTCTTATCTCCTTGGTTTCTTCATGATACATGTTTTCTTCTACCTTCTTGAACATATGGAACATATTTACAGTAGCTGTTTTAATGTTTTTATCTGCTAATTTGCACATTTCTGTTGTTTCTGGATCTCTTTATATTGATTGCTTCTTACCCCCTAGTTATGGGTTACATTTTCTGCTTTTTTGCATGACTGGGCATGTGACTTTTATGTTATCATTTGCTGAATTTTTGTTGTATTCCTTTAAACCATGTCAGGCTTTGTTCTGGGATGCAGTTAAGTTACTCAGAATCTGGGGCACCTGGGTGGCTCAGTGGGTTAAAGCCTCTGCCTTCGGCTCAGGTCATGATTCCAGGGTCCTGGGATCAAGCCCCTAGTCGGGCTCTCTGCTCAGCAGGGAGCCTTCTTCCCCCCGCCCTGCCTCTGCCTGCCTCTCTGCCTACTTGTGATCTCTATCTGTCAAATAAATAAATAGTTACTCAGAATCTGGTTGGATCCTTTCAAGGCTTCCTTTTAAAAAAGCTTTGCAAGGATGAGTCCAAAATGGCCTTTAGTCTAGGCTAACTTAAACTCTACTTTAGGCAATACCCTTGAAGAATTCTGCCAGATGCCTCATGTATTATGAAGTCTTTCCACTTTGGCTGTTAGGAACACACCCTGTTTTTTAGCCCTATATGAGCTCTTGCAGTTGTTTGACTTTTCAGTGATTCTCTCCCCAGCCTTGAGAATTTCTTCTCCCTACATGCACACAGATCAGTACTCAGCCAAAGACTTGAGGGATCACTCTACAGATCTCTTGAGCTCTTTCTGTGTGCTATTTTCTCCTCTCTGGTACTCCGTGAGAAAATTCCAGTTTTCTTTGCCTCCCTGAACTTCCAGTCCTTGTCCCTAACTTCCTGAAAACTGCCCCCTGAAAACTCTGTGTAGGTTCCTCCTGTCTGGGCTGAGGCCTGGAAACTGCCTCCAGGCATTACACTGGGGAAATTCAAGGGCTCACTTACTTGCTTCCCCTCTCTCAGAACTCCCTCTCTTGAATGCCTGCTGTCTAATATCTGAAAATGGTTGCTTTATTTTGCCTAGCTTTCTAGGCAAAATAAAGCAGGGTAAATTACTGTGGGTAAATACTAGGGTATGTTACTATTTACTATGGCAGGGTAAATTCCATCCCTCTATCATTAATGGAAACAAAAGTTCTGTTTTTGAACCATATTTAAAGTAGGAAGAAATTTAATAGAAAAAAAACGGGCTTGTGTTTGAATAAATTTGAGGTTTGGGAAATGCCATTAATGACATCATTTAAGCCATCAAGTGTTATTGTATTAATTATAGGTAATACCTACATTTATCTCTCTAGAGACCTTGTGGTCAAATGATAGTAAAGAGATTTGATACTTCTGTAGGATTCTTTTAGAGTAAAAAAAGAGCACATTTTTATCTTTATTATATTTGGTCCTCAGTAAGACGAGTAGTTATACCCATTTTTACAGGTGACAAACTGAAGTTTAAAACCGTACTTTTGCCTGCCTTTGTGTCTGGTTCAGGAGGATCCAAAGAGTGCCTTCTTTTTCCCTTTATTTGCATGATTGATTTGTAGTCATTTTTATAGCTGGCTAATTCCTTAATCTTGTCAGTAAAGTAAGTTTCTTTTCTTGAATTTCACATTCCCATTCCTGGGGCATACCTAGCCATAAAGTACAAAATTGCAAGCACTGTGTACTTTCTCCAGTTTCTGTTTCCAGAGCCTGTTTCCTAGTGGCTACTTAGGATGGCACATTAGAATTTTACAAAACTTCAGAATCCTTATAATAATGAATTCTCATTATACTGCAGTTGAAATAAGACATTATAATAGAAGGAGGATTAGAATAAGCCTCCAGAGACCTAAGTTCTAGTTACTCTTTTACCATTGCCCGTCTTTGTAACCTTTGGAAAGTCATTTAATTGCTATGTACTTGATTTTTTTTTTCACCTGAAAATAAAGGTTCTAGTTTAATGATATCCCTGAAAGTGGATAATATCCACTTATTTAATGATATCACTATTCTGTGATTATATGTGTATAATTGTGTCTAGCAGTGAATTCTGATTAAACTCCTGAAACTCAGATTTTTAGAAATAATAGCACAGTTGAACAAAAATCATTTATATGTGTCGTTAGGAATCTTCATGGTACCTGCTTATAAAGGTCAGAATCCAGTCATTCTATAACAAGCCTTCTCTGTGAAAATTGATCCAAAGAAATTTTAAAATCCTTAAAATATCATCTGTTTTTCTACAGAAACTATGAGAATTATTTCATTAAGGCACAGAAAGTGAGACGACTCATTGCTAATGATTTTGTGAAGGTTTTTAACTCTGGAGTGGATGTCTTGCTGACTCCCACCACCTTGCGGGGCGCAGCACCATACCTGGAGTTCATTAAAGAAGACAACAGGACACGAAGCGCCCAGGATGACATTTTTACACAGGCTGTAAATATGGCAGGTGAGGATCTCTTGGGAATGTTCTAGTTTTCTTCAAATTTTTAGACAGGCACCCTGGTCTTCAACTTAGGTTCCAGCTAGACTGTTCCGTGAAGGCAACAGCTTGTCCTTCTGGAATGCTTAGGAAAGTGTGTACGTGTGTGTGAGGGGAGGGGTATGTGCACACACATACTCGGAGTCAGTCTACTTAATAGCATAATTTTAACTTTTATTTTGGAAATTTTCAAACCTCCAGAAAAGTTCAAAGAATGGTGTAATGAATACCAATATGCCCTTTGCCTAGATTCATTCATTTTGTCTTATCTGCTTTCTCCTTCCTCTCTTTCTCTCTGTACACATACACACACACACACACTCACACACCTTTTTTTTTTAGCCAAATAATTTGAAAGAAAGTTGCAACATCATGATACTTCACTCCTAAATACTTTAGCATAAATCTTCTAAAAATGATGACATTCTCCTGCATAACCACAATTCTGTTATCACACCTAGGAAAACTAACATGAATATAATAATATTCCAGATATAGTCCATATTTAAATTTTCTCCATTGTACCAAAAATGTCTTTTATAAAATTGTTTTTCCCCCGATATATTATATTTGTTTATCTTTTTAAAATTTAGAACAATACCCCAGTTCTCTGCTTTGGGTTTTGGTTTTTGTTTTGTTTTTTCCTTTTGGAACACATCAAACTTTTATAATTTGTTTCAATCATCAAAAAAAATGTAGGAAACTCAAGAGGAGAAGGAAAGCATATTGTATTTCCCCATACTTTTGCTTACTATGTTCATTTCTTCCTGGTGTATGAAGATTCTTTATCATATCCTTTCTGTTTAAATTCCTTTAGCCATTCTTTTAGGGTAGGTAAGCTGTTAACCAATTCCCTTAACTTCCTCAGAATGCTTGATTTCCTTTCAAATTTAAAGGTTATGTTCATTGGATACAGGATTTAGGCTTGACATTTCTTTTCTTTAGCACTTAAAAAATGTTATGCTACTTTCTTCTGGACTGCATAGTTTCTGATGAGAAATCCCCCACCTTTTAAAATTTTTGTTTTAATTGACATTGATTTTTTTGAAGAGCCTAGTGCGCTTGCCCTATAGGATGTCACATCCATAAGCTGGATTTGCTAGATTGCTTACTCATGATTGGGAAGCATTTTGGCAGAAATACTGCATACTCTCCATGTTGGGAAACAGTTAATGTCAGTTTGTTCCACTTTCAGAGACTAAGTTGATCCCTTAGTGAAGGAAGTAACTGCCAGGTGTTTTCTGTGTAAAGTTACATTTTTCCTTTGATCAGTTATAACCGATGGTGAGGTGGTACTCTGAGATTGTGTGACTATACTATTCCCCAAAAATCTTGAACCCAGTTTGAGATCTATTGATGAATCTTGCCTGAATTATCTCCTAGAGAATGACAAAAATGCTGATTTTTCTATCATTCTTTGTACATACATTAGCAGTCTTCTCTAAAGACAGCTTTGTTTTGTTGTTGTTTTTTTAATTCAGTGTATTATAAACAATTACTGTCATTATTGGCTTTGATGCTGAAACTGTTTGGCCAACAAGAGCCCTTTCAAGTTGCATGTAGCCTTTAGACCTATCCACATTAATTTCTAAAAACTTCCTTATTTTATGGCATAACAAGATATCCCAGGATCTTTTGCTTTCTTTGCCCCAAACGTGGAATTAAAAACAAACTACTATTTCTTATCTATCAAATGGCAAACATTCAAAAGCTCAACAACATACTCAGTTGGTAACGCTGTAGGGAAAAAGCATTTTGCTGATGGGAGTTCAAAATAGTACAGCTTTTTTGGAGAGGAATTTGGCAACATCTAGTTACATATGCATTTATCTGTTGATGAAGCAATCCCTATTTATCTGAGAGACTTTCAAGAATACCAAAAGCCGGGGCGCCTGGGTGGCTCAGTGGGTTAAGCCTCTGCCTTCGGCTCAGGTCATGATCTCAGGGTCCTGGGATTGAGCCCCGCATCGAGTTCTCTGCTCAGCGGGGAGCCTGCTTCTCCCTCTCTCTCTGCCTGCCTCTCTGACTACTTGTGATCTTTCTCTCTGTTAAATAAACAAATAAAATCTTAAAAAAGAAAAAGAATACCAAAAACCATGGTGCATCTGGGTGACTCAGTCAGTTAAGCATCCAAATCCTGATTTCAGCTCAGGTCGTAATCTCATGGGTGGTGTGATTGAGCGCTGCATCACTGGGCTTCACGCTCAGTGGGGAGTCTGCTTGAGATTCTCTCTCTCTTCCGCTCCCCTTGCGCTCTCTCTCTCTCAAATAAATAAATAAATCTTAAAGAAAAAAAAAAAGAATACCAAAAAACATGTATACTTGGGCATGGTGTGAAATAGCTCAATACTGAAAACAACCTAAATGCCCAACCAGAGAAGCATGGGTGAAAAAATTATGGTACAAACCACATAATGGAGTGCTGTGCAGCTATAAAAAAGGAATGAAGAACGTCTCTGTGAGTTGATACACAGTGATTTCCAAGATATATTGTGAAGTGAGCAAAGGAAGGTACAAAAGCATATGCATATGTATGACTTCTGTCATTTTTTAAACCTTATCTGTCTTACACCTACTAGCACTAGAAAGCAGAAGTCTCCCCTTCTTAGGGTGGAGAAGTAATCAGCTAATAGGTTTCTTTCTTGTCTTCAGGATTGCCGGCAGTGAGTGTCCCTGTGGCTCTCTCAAACCAGGGGTTGCCAATAGGACTACAGTTTATTGGACGTGCATTTTGTGACCAGCAGCTTCTTAAAATTGCCAAGTGGTTTGAAAAACAAGTACAGTTTCCTGTTACTCAACTTCAAGAACTAATGGATGATGGTTCATCAATCTCTGAAATTGATAAGTTAGCTTCAGTTTCTCTAAAACACTAGTGATAAATATAGCACACAAATTAAAATCACTTGAAGATTTTATATTCGAGAGAAGTCTGATGATCCTGCTCAATTCCTGTAATTTGGTTCCTTGTCAACACGGTCGTTCGTTGGAATCACCTTTTAAAACTCTTGTGATACCGCTAATTATAAATCACCTGTCAGCATCTATGAGGTATCCACTAAGTGTAAAGTACAGAATTTTTACATTAACATAGACACACGTTCGTGGAAAGTGAGGCATTCTGCAAAAATGTTCATTAATAAGAACAGAGCTTAGAGTACAAGTAAGCTTGGGGATAAGCCTCTCAGAACTTCCACATCTTTGTAACCAAAGTGCTAATAAAAGCTATGATTTGTGCCTCCAGAGAGAACGTGAACAGCCAGGCAGATGGGCAATTCAAACATAGTGGAGGCTGCCTTGGGGGATGTTAAAAAGGCACAAAAACAATAAAATGGGAATATTTGCTTCTGAGTGCTGAACAAAGGAGGTAGAAGAGGTGCTCCGAGTGCTGGAGGAAGTGCGACGTGCTGGGGCACAGAGTCATGCAAGACTGGGGTTACGCCCCTCTGGGGATGAGCGCAGGTGCAGACGCTCTTGATTGCTCTAAATATAGAGATGCAGTGACTGAACGCTTTCTCCTGTTTTGCTAACGTTGAAAATGTGACTTCTGCCATCGCAGAACCCCATGCCAAGGAACTAGAACAACTCCATGGAACTCATTCTCCTGTTTACCAACCACAAAGGAACTCGCTGGTGTCACAGAAACATTTGTTGTAACCTAAGAGACCATATTGGACTTGAAACTTGGGAGGCAGTGGAGCATGATTTTAGTGAGAAAGTTTCAAGATAGACAAGTATACCCAGTGTGAAAAACTAGCAGATAATCTGGTGAGGATGCCACAGCCTCCTCCCTCACCCCAGTTTTCTCTGTTACTTACGGTTTCCTTACCCTCTTCGTTTCTTTACAGATGCTCTCTGTTTGGGTCCCTTGAGCCCAAAGGGACAGTAATGAGAATCCATATTCAATTTGAAAGAAAATTTTATGAAAATCATTCATTTCACCACTATAAAGTTTCATTATTGGACTTGTCTTTGCCAGAACACCATTGTCATCTCGCGTTGATCAGGTCTTTGAATTTGGCACGTACTACCGATAATTGTAAGTGGGAAGGTGAATTGTTATTTAATAAATTCGCTTTGTTTAGTAAGGAAAAAGTCCTTTCTAAATACAAAGTACACGCGGGAGAAGTCTAAGTGGCAGAACCTTCTGCAGGGCCACTGGAATATTGCATGGTGGGAAGTTAGCTTGCCTGTTACTTTCTCATTAACAGTTTTCTCTCCTCCCAGGATCCTTCCACTCCCAAATGGTCTAAGTTTATATAAAACCTTTCTGTGCCAGCCCCACCAGTTTTCTTATAAATCATGACTCTGAATCCCTGAAAGAGGAAGACATTCACAAGAGAGAATTGCATTTTTTTGTGACAAGGGAAAACCATCTTAGTTTGAAGGAGCTAATATGATGTAAAAAGCAAACAATAAATCTTTGCCCCAGTCTTTTTTTAATGTGTGTGTAATTTGAACTGAAATTTTTTCAGAGGATATTTATGTAATTTCTCTTACTCCTGGGCTCCTCCTTGAGCTGCACTGATGATCTGAATCTGGAAATAGGGAAGTGAAACATTGACTGTTCTCACATAATAATACCCAACTAGCATGAAATGATACCTAATTTGTTTCTCTTTCTTCTCCATCTTCACCCTAAATCTAGTAGATCTCATTTTACCAAATCACTGTCGGGGAATTTAAGTGGGAAATAGCTTCTGTATCTCAGCTAATTAAGTCCTGACATTGTTAGCAATTCTGAAAGGCGAGGTTGGCTACAAGTGTAAGATGAGCTCCCTGATAAGACACAGCAAAACAAAGAGAAGTTAGATTCAACCACAGAAGCATCACTGGAGTGAAAAAATGTGATGAGATCACACAACCTGCCATCCCAACACAACCTAGAGCGCAGGGAGCAAGGGGGAAAGTCAGTGTTCCGTGCTGGCCCCCAACGTTACCAAGAAACTCACTTGAAACCAGGGAAGCAGAATGTTCTCTTTGGCTCTTTGTTACCAGGTCATCAGGAACACAGAGGACCTTGAGCCGGCTAGAAGAGACAGCCTGGTTCCAAAAAGATTCTAAAAATGACAAGGAACAGTGACCTTATTAGGAGATCACCTGTTCCTTCTAACATAGACAAGAAATACCTTTAGGATTTTATTTTTATTTATTTTTTTAAAAGATTTTATGCATTTATTTGAGAGAGAATGAGCCAAGAGCCAGCATGAGCAGTGGGGAGGGGCAAAGGGAGAAAGGGAAGCAGACTCCCCGCTGAGCAGGGAGCCAGACTTGAGGATGGCCTGGGGATCATGACCTGAGAAAGAAGGCAGATGCCCGCCCCTCCCACCCACCTACCCTCCCAACCCCCCCACCCCTGCCTGCCCTTTAGGATTTTAGACTGAAGGACTGTGAAGAGAACCGTTACAGAGCACCAGTAAGTAGAGCTCACGGATACTGCAAACTGTGCCATTCCCTGCTCCAGTCAAGGGAAGGGAGCAAGCTAATGGAATTTTCACAATAGCTTCTATTTTGAATTTTCATTCATTAGCTATTTTTGATCTCCCTCCCTTTCTTCAAGCATGTGATTATCTACCAAGGTTAAATGCATATTGACTGTGCAAGACTGGGGTGAGATGTGTTCATTGTATTTAGAAGCACCAAAGCACAGTTTAAAGTAGAAGGTCTTGCTCAATTTTTTTGTGACTTAAGCAGTGTGTACACTAGAACATAAACCTGAAGATTTAATAAAGGCAAATGACATGAGAAAAGCCCAGCCAACATTAAATAAAAGTAATTTTTAGAGGTTTTCAGAGGGTTTTTTTAAAATTTCTTTTTCTTTATACCTCAATGGACTATAAATCCAGAAGGATTTTAGGCAATTTATTAAAAACATAGTATTACAGTGATATAAAAGTGAGTAGTTGAGAAAATCAGTAAAGTGATAAAAGTAACAAAAAAGGATAAAACAAGGAATGAAGTTTAAAATAAAAATGCTTCTCAAGGTATCTATATAGATGCTTAAGGCTGTATAGTATGACACGGTATAGTATAGTATGACACGGGAATTTTCCAGTAGCTTGCCTAGTAGCTAAGGCCACCAGATTTAAAAATCAAATAAACTTGGCTTTGAACCCTATTATTGCCATTTATGAACTGTGTAACCTGTTTGAGCTTCAGTATCCTGACTTGTAAAACAGAGATAATATTTACTCCAAGGGATGGTTGGGAGGATTAAATTAAAATATGCACACTGAAAGCACCTAACATGATGTCTGATAGACTAAGCACTTAGTAATTTGTAGCTGTAAGTAATGCACACAATTATAAACTTAAGTCACTTTCTTATACAGTTGACCCTTGAACAACACAGGTTTGAACTGCATGGGGTCACTTACATGTGAATCTTTTTATAAGTACAGTACAGTACAATACTACTTTTATAAGTACAGTATAGTACTATATATATATAGTATTTTCTCTTCCTTATGATTTTCTTAATAAAATTTTCTCTAGCTTACTTTATTGTTACAAATAGAGTATATAATACACATAGCTCCCAATGATCTGGCTTCCCCTGAGGATGAAGTTTAAAATATCAGGAAGAACTGATGGCCTGCCTATTTCCAAAGCAATTTCAAAAAAAAGGGGGGGGGCTTTTTTTTTCTTTTTCTTTTTTTTTTTTTTTTTTAAATAAAAATTGGCTAATACAGTGTTCAAAGACCTGTAGGTCTTCAAAAGCCCTCTGTGCTCTGCCAATCAAATGAAGAGCAAGACCAACATGCTCCTTTAAAAACAAAGCCTCCTGGGACACCTGGCTGGCTCAGTCGCTTAAGTGACTGCCTTCAGCTCAGATCACGATCCCAGGGTCTTGGGATTGAGCCCCACATGGAGCTTCTTGCTAAGCAAGGAGCCTGCTTCTGCCTGCTGCTCCCCCTGCTATGGTGTCTCTCTCTCTCTGACAAATAAAATCTTAAAAAAAAAAAAAAATAAAAAATGAACCTCCCAAAATATGACTATCCCATATTCCCTGGGGGAGAGGGATGGGGAAAGCTTTTGACAGAACCAAGTTCTTCCTCATGAAACTCAGTTCTGTTCCCATATATAGAGAGATACACGGATAATCGAAGCCCCAGATTACAACATCTTCACTGCAATTATTTTAACATGGGAAAATTTTAAGGTCAATATTACCAATGACCTGCTCGGATAGCCATCAGCGGGGAAAGAAAAAGTCAATAAAGTACCCATACGGCATCTAATGGTAACTATTTTCTAAGATAAATTTTTTGCAAAATGGACCTGCAGAATAATGTAGTAGAATTTGTGTCAGATACCTGTCAAGATGGTAACCGACAATTTTAGCAGAGTTCATTTAGCAGGACCGGTTGTCTATAGAGACCACTCTTAGCATAGAATTCTTAACTCTGATTTCTGTGATAGGGATGAGGGGTGTACGCATCTAAATCATCCCAAACTGGTTTCAAGTCATTAACATACAAACTAAAAGGAAGCGAGGCGGGAATTCGGAGTTTTAAGACTCACAATAACAAAGTAAATTCTAATACAGTATTCTCAGAACCATTTTATAGCGCGCATGTAAAACTATATAGAGCATCAAATTACACGCAAATTATTTTCTTAGCTATGCCAGTCTATTTCTTCGTGGAAATGGCAGGTAATTGGTGCAGAATTAAGGTAGTGGTAACAGGAAAAGAAGTGAGACATCATAAAGTGAAAATTAGAATTTAGAGCTTAACTGGATTAGAGGGTATGAGAGAAAGGAGGGAAAGAAATATGATTTTTTTTATCTTGAGAAATGCTCACAGCTAGAAGAATGACGCCATTCTTATTAAAAACAAATTAAAGTAAAATGATTTATAGGGGCTGGAGATGAATTTCACAATCAAGTGGAAATACCTAATGTTGGGAGAAGACGCAAGTAAAATGGAGTTTGGGGAGTCAAAAAGATAATAAATTGTAAACTCTTCACATTGAGTGTCTTCTTCCCCCATGTTTTATGATGAAAAATTTCAAATACAAAACAGATCCACCACCCATATCCCACCATTGCAATTTTGCTGTATTTCCTCTATCATATATCTACCCTCTAATGCCTCTATTCATCCATTAATCTACCTTACTTTTAAAAATATATATATCAAAGCGATTTTACCCTACACATTTAAGCATACCAAACACTGACTTGAGTTCAACATTTATTTACGGGTTTTTTTTAAATGTAAAACTTATATACGATCAAATGCATAAATCTTAACTATATGTCCCTTGAGTTCTGACAAATGCGTATACCTGTATAGCCCAACCTTATCAACATATAGACCACAGTACTGTCATTTCTGTCACTCCAGAAAATGATCTCATGTCCTCCATCAGTCCCTGCTCCCACCCCTCCAGAGCCAACCATTCTTCAGATTTTTCCCCAATACATTTAATCTTGTTTATTCTAGAATTTCAGATGAATGTAACCTGCATTGGGTTACTTCAAAGATTATTCGGGGAATGCAAGTTCTAAGCTTTTGAATCTGATTTGAGTAGATTTTAAGAGGTTTGCATTTTTAAGTTACAAAGGTAATGTATATTCTCTGTGGCTGGTGGTGAGAAAACAGAAGAACATACAAAAAAGAATAAAAATCACTTGTTACCTCACCATCTAGACGTATGTATATGTATAGATGTAGATATATGTATTTTATTAACAAAATTGGTGTCCTATTTCTCACAGCTGTGTAACCATCACCACTAGGTTCCAGAGCTTTTTCAATGGCCCCACGTCCATAAGCAGTCCTAACCCATTCCACTCTCTTCTTAGTTCCTGGCAAACACTAATTTATCTTCTGGTTCTATGAATTTGTCTTTCCTGGACATCTTGTATCAGATGGAACCACACAGCATGTCAGTAACCTTTTGTGTCTGGCTTCTTTTACTTAGAAAAATGTTTTCAAGGTTTATGAATGTATCAATGTCTTACTGCTTTTTAGGCCTCAATAATATTCCAATGTGTAGACATACCACATTTTGTCTATTTATTCATCAATTGATGGACTTTTGGATTATTTTCATTTTTGGAATGAATAATGTTGCTATCAACATTCATATACAAATATTTGTGTGGATGTTTTTCATTTTGCTTGAATATATAGCTGGTGTAGAACTAATGGGCCATATGGTAACTCTGTATTTAACCTTCTTTTTTCCCCTCTATTTAACCTTTTGAGGAACTGCCAAACCGTTTCCCAAAGTGGCTGCATCATTATATATTCCCACCAGCAATATGCAAGGATTCCAGTTTCTCCACATTCTTATCAACACTTGGTATTGCCTGTCTTTCTTATAATCGCCATCCCAGTGAAAGGGAAGCGATATCTCACTGTAGTTTTGATTTGCATTTCTCTAATGACTGTTATTGAGTATTTCATGCACTTACTTTGCATATAAAACTTTTTTTGGAGAAATATCTATTCAAATCTTTTGCTCATTTTAAAACTGAGCTTTTTATTGCTGGATTTAAGTTTTTTTTTAATTATTTTGGATAGAAATTCCTTATCAGACATATGACTTGTCAATAACAATAAGTTGCCTTTCCGTGTTCTTGATGGTTTTCTTAGAAGCAGTAAAGTTTTTTTTTATTTTGATAAAGTCTAACTTATCTGTAATGCTTCTGTGCTTTTGCCCTTGGTGTCATATGTCAAATGCAGCTAATATGTTTTAGTAAATAGTATGAAGAAGGCATATAACTTAAAAAAATAATGAACTCAGTAACTGTTCACACTATTATTATAGTCTAAAACTTATATATAGTTTGGTCTGATTTTGGCTTGTTGTCAAAGCTTTGTTAGTTTTTCTCAAGGTGACCCCCAGAGTAGCCTGAGTGTAGCATTCCAAAAAAATGACACCTACAGTTCTGTTTCTGCCCACTTTGGTATAACCAGGTACCTCACACTTTGAGGTATTTCTTAAATGTTTATTGAATTGAATCTAATTGAGTTGAAGTGAATTGAATTGGAAAATGGTTTGAGGAAGGAAGGAGAAGTATGAACAATGCCAGAATAGCCAACACTGTGTCCCAGCACTGTTCACACTGTTTTTTCCATTTCTGCTGAGGTCATCTCTGCTCTTGCCAAAACTACTCTTTCAACATTTTTTTGTTTTGTT